ATACTTGGCTGGATCAAATTCATGTAGAATTGTCTCTCTTTGACCGTTATCATCTCTCTCTCTCATCTATTCCTGCCACCTCTCTTCCGGCCTGGTCTACTCTAGTATTGGTATTTGGTCTCTCTTGTCCCCTTGTGTCTCCTGTGCTATTTCCCTCAGTCTCCATTTCCATGTCTCTCTCCTTTCCATAACCTGCAGCCTCTCTTCCATTACTCTCTCTGTCCTCTACTCTTTCTCTTTGTTCAATCTCTCCCTCATTGTTAAATGTTTGCTCCTCCTCACTTGTCGCTCCTGCCAATGAATTAAAAGCAATTCAGCAATTTAGTTCATTTCACTTGTTTGTTTGCATTATTTTTTTTAATTTAAATCTGTTTTGTTTGATTCTCAAAAGTATGTTATTATGACATCATAACTGCAATATATGTATGTTGTTTTAAAATGATGCCTATTGTATATAAATGAAGACTATTGTTATAGATAATATAGTTAGATAGATAGATGGGGTTATTAAGCCTACATTCTTCTGTGTGACTGTACCTGCAGTTCCGCCCTGACTTCCATCACTTTCTCTCTCTCTCTCTGCCTGTCCTGTCTCTCTCTTACCAAAGCTGAGCTTCAACTGACGTAGTCTTTTCATTATATCTGAGTCAGTGTAAAAAGAAAATACAATGTTATATCTTCAATGTTTTACTCAAATTGAAATGAAGAAAAGCATTACAACGTTTGTTAAAAGGTAATCCATTTCTGACATTGGATGAATGTAATTAACTGTAGCTCTCTAGCTAGTTTATTCACGCAATTTAAATCAAAGTATAGCCTATAGCTGCAATAAAAGTTAGTGTGCATGTTGTCGGACGTCCACTGACTAACGTAGAGCGTTCACACAGGATCTGCTGGTCATATGATGTCCTCTGAGGAACAGAAACACAAGAAGCCCGCTGGACTCAGATCTCTAGATACCACATCACTCCTTCGCTGCTCCGATACAAGTCCGGGCTGCGGTGGTTTGTTGATGGTTGATACATGTTGTCTTCTTCTGTTTGCTTTAATCAAGGCTACGTAGTTATGCAGCGCCCCCATGGTCAGTAAATGGAAGTACTACAAAGAACCCCGTTTAGTGCAGTTATTTCACAAGTTTTGTTATATACACAGCTCGCAAAATTTTACCGAGGTCCGGACCTCGGTGACCTCAATGGTGGATACGGCCATGGTTGGTAATGTATTAGCGACCCCCACAGATGTATGATTTCACTGCGTCCGTGGGAGCTCAGACCCCTCCTTATGGGAGCTCAGCTCCCATTGGCTCCCACATAACTCGAACCCTGGGGGGAACATTGACCTTTATCATCGAGATTGCCCTGAGCCTTTAACAAATCGTATTAAATAATCTGATGACAGACTGTAAACAGAATAGCTGAAATTTTAACAAACTAAATAACTCAGTTTCCTCTAATCATTAACCCATGTTTGTATCATGTAGTTAACTCCGTGTGTTGCTGCTAGCATACATAACACCTGACGTGGAAACGTTACTCGTGATGGAGCTACAGAGCTGCTAGAAAGACGGTCGAACCCGGTACATTCCTTCGTCTGCATGCGGTGCACTTTTGCTAAATGTTTAGACTAATTGCTCGTGCTTACATGCTAAACTCTTATTGCACTTATGGTAACAAGTATTCTCCACATCGAGACGGGTAAAGTTTAACCACACCTCGGAGCGCGTTCTCTCCGCCATCTCCGCAGTGTGCTCCGCTGCATGTAGCAGCTGCGTGTGTGTAAACTGCCCCGCCCCCTCGCACACAGACGGGGGAGAGAGATCTCGTCTGATCGAAAATACATCATAGACGCATTTGTTGTCTTTGCATATTAGAAACGAGTTGGCGACACTAAGACTGCGACATAATGTTTTTTAGCAATAATACATGACATATATAAATGTACTGTATGCATTCAAAAGTGCTGAATAAATGTTTTATGGACCCATAATAGTGATTATTATTTAAGTTAAGTTTTGCCATAATCATGTCTATTTCCATAATCAGGTAGCTGAACAACATTGGTAAAAAATGTATACATTATATATATATATTTCTATTAATCATTTTCGGCCTTTCAGCATTCGGTTTTCGGTCAACTGTTTCCTATTTTCGGTATCGGTTTCGGCCAAGAATTTCCCATTCGGTGCACCCCTATTCAATACCAAAAATACCAATACGTTTTATTTTGAATAGCGTAGGCAAATTTTTCTGAATGATAAGCGAGCTGTTATTAAAAAATATGAATGCCGCTTCCGGTAACACGGCAACAAAAGGGGCCGGAATTATGATGGCCGCTCTTTGTTCCCAAAGCCACGGAGGGAGAAGTTGGCGACAGTGGGTGGGTGTTTCTCAATGTCGAGGAAGGATGCTCCAGAGCCACTATTTCAAGGATGCTACGTCATCGAGTCCCGCCGAAGGACTGTTCCAATGTCCAGGCTCCTTGGAATTCTACGGAGGCCGGCGTCCTTCGTTGCAGGAATATTCGAGGCTGCACATGTGTATCCTCCGCGGTCTTAAAATCCCCACAATGCTTTGCGCACGGACCGATTTCCAAAATCTTTGGCGGAAAATGTAAGGCTCTCATATGACGCACACCTGCTAGCCTGTTCCATTCTTCGTTCTCCGAATGCCAGGAAGGATTCTTGCCTCGCCTCTAATGGACCTGACTCGGAAGACATGTCCTACCAAGGAAGCGTCCTCGACATTGAGAAACATCCACTGTGTGAGAGGCTTCAGAGACGCCGTTGGTATGTTTCTCTGTTGTTTATTGCGTTCTTGATCTGTTGAGTGCTGTTGCGCAATCAACGTCTTTTACGCAGCGTGGTTTGTGTGCGCTCCGTTTTGTTTATATTTTGATAGCGCAGATGGTGTTCAGTGAGGTTTTCTGGGTAGCTTGGTTTCAAGTAGAGAAAGATACTTCCTTATTAATTCATTTAAAGGTGGGGTAGGTACGTTTGGAGAAAGCAGCTCGAGTGCGCTAGAATTTGAAAATACACAACCGGAAAATGAGGGCACGAGATGAGTTTGTGCACAGATGGAAGGTTGACAGGCAGGTAGGCCATCCAGTTACTTTAGCCGGGCCGGCTCAGATGATTGGTCGTGCTTTTTACAGCGCCACGGCTTCCACAGATGACATGTTTTGTTATGGATTTTTTGTCAAAGCACTTCAGATATTCATTGCTGTGAAGCTGACCGTTGAGCGGCCCGACCAAGCAAGGAGGCAGAACGTCCATTTATTACTCACGGGCACATGACACAGCCTCAATCTGTTCACGTGAGGACAGTCACCAGCCACAAGGACCTCACACACACTACCAGCCCCCTAACAGACAGGGAAACAGAGCCTAAATACCCACACACTAATCAGCAATTAGACACAGGTGGGGGGGAGGAGACAACACAGGGCACCAGGTGCACACAATCAGCAGCAACATGGGGAAAGGGGAACACTTTTCAACAGCAATGAAGCTAAACATCCCGTAACGGAGGCCGAGATCTATGGGCCCAGAGATCACCTCCGTGACAAAGTGTTTCTCGAGCCGGTTTCTCAGACTTACCCCACCTTTAAGTTAATAATGTGTTTGTAAAATAACTCACAATTTATCATTTGAATTATAATACCCTGAAAAGGCCGGAATGTGACTGAATTATTATTATTATTATTAGAAATAATGCAAGGAGGCATACAAAATGTTTATAATTGTATTTGCATGTGAACTAACATTTGTTTGTCCTCTTGTGTTTTGAAGGTTTTCAACGTGATGAGAATCTGATGCAAAGTCTGATAGAAAGTGTCTTATAAAGAACTGCTGAGCAGAACATAGAGACAAAAGAAAGAATCTGAGTGGTCCAAGCGTCCTCTGTTGCCCTCCAGCCTCTCAAGTTCGGGCAAAACACTGAATTCAGGCCAAAACCCGGAAGAACTTGACATGAACAAAAGAACTGTGGACTTTATTCTACTCTAAGAAGCTCAAAGATAAAGTGAAACCCCTCCCAGGCTGACGTGGGGCTCCAGTGACGTGCAGCTGATATGTAAGTCTGACGCAGCAGATGCTTCGCTCACATCTCCAACAACACTTGAGTTCGTACTGAGGGACGCATCTCTATTCAGGCGGAGCAGCGGACCCTTAGCTCCAGTAAATATTTCAGCATGTTGAAAGCTCTGCGCTCTTCTTCTGTGGTGTTTCACTTTAAGCTGCATTTGTTCTGCTGAATCAAACAGAGGGAGAAACACTGCAGCAGGCTTTGATTGATCTTAGTGTTTCCACCCCGGTGTCTTCATCTAGAGAAGACAATCAGAGATGTAGCATTTTAATACGTCTTAAAAAGTGTATTTTATATTAAAAAAAGGAAATAAATTAAAGAAAAATGAACATTTTTTAAAAGTTCAATGTAAATCTGGAGACTTATTAAAATATAGTTGTTTTTTAGATAAGTGACAAAATATGCCCTAGATACAAAGATCTAAAGTTTAGGTAAACATAGAACATTTGAAATAATAATACAATTAAAAATATAAATATATGTAAGCAATGAGAAGCATTACATATATTATACATTTACTAAAATACCAGTTTGTATTATTTGGAAACCCTCAAGGAAGTGTTTTCTTTCTGTCTGCCATCATTCTGCAGGGATTTGTGTTATTACATATTATCTTTGTAAAAGATAGTTATTTGTCTCGGGTATAAATGAAGACTGTAGCCTTTCTCATTAACGACTAAAGCCAGGTGTCAGGAGCCTGATGGTACAATAATCAACCAAGTGTGTGTGTGTGTGTGTGTGTGTGTGTGTGTGTGTGTGTGTGTCTTCAGCTCATTAGTTGCCAACAGGGAGGATGAGTGCCGACCACAGAGAAATAATTTCCTCACATCAGGATGACACAAAGAAACTGAAAGGCTTTAACTCTTTTTCATCCTCAGCCTCAGTCGAGCTTAATTGGGATTAGTTTGTTTTCCTCACCTGGTCAGCCAGCATCTTCTTCATGGCAGCACTTTTAGTTCCTCCAACCACCAGGCGGTCCAGGACTTTGTACCAAGAGCCGATGACTGGTCCCTGTGATGTTAAAACAGACAACAAAATATGATTATTATGGATTATTTTCTTTGTTTTGTACAGTTTTATTATCAATTACCACAGTGGATACCTAAAGTGTTTACAACTAACATAAGTGATGATTACACAACATGAAACAAATGAAAAGGAACGAGAAAAGGAGACAAGATTTAGAGAATAAAGAACATTTTACAATGAATTAGAGCTCAATAATTCATCTACATTTTATTGGAAATATGGACATACTGTATGGCGTAACGTCCAAATTGCAAAAGGCGCAAAATGTGTTAAATTATTCAGACTTTTATTTAAAATATATTATCAGGAGAATCAAACCATCATATACATTTAATTACATATTTATTAAAATGAGAATAATAATTCAAAAGTATGATTTCTATCAGTTTTTGCAATGGAAATATCACTCAAAATAATCCAAATCCTCAAACACAGTTATAAATATGTTTTATTTTTTAAACCCAGTTAACCAAACATATAGAAGAACACCCATGGAGAAGTGAAGCTGCTGCTCTGCTAACGTGTTGTGCATACAATAGGTTTATGACTTGTTATTAATCATTTCCTAGAAAGCGCCAGCATTGATTTAAACGATTTCTAACTGGACGATATTTATTTAGAACGTTTAACCCTCCTATTGTCTTCGTTTTCCCCCCTTACTTTAGTATTCGTGCATTAACACAAAAAACATTAATCATCACCACATTTAATTTAACCCCCTTTCAAACTGTACATATGGTATCAGACTACTGGTATACATGAGACACTGCAGTACATATACAAAGAACAGACACTGAACATGTACTGCATGTGCCAGGTGTGATCCATGTGGGGGGAGGGGCACATAAGAGCGGGAAATGTGTCAAATTGTTCCGTGTGTGTGTGTTTGTGTGTTTGTGAGTACCGGGTGTGATCCATGTGGGGGGAGGGGCACATAAGAGCGGGAAATGTGTCAAATTGTTCCGTGTGTGTGTGTTTGTGTGTTTGTGAGTACCGGGTGTGATCCATGTGGGGGGAGGGGCACATAAGAGCAGGACATGTATCAAATTGTTCTGTGTGTGTATGTGTGTGTGCCAGGTGTGATTCACAAGGGGGGATGGGCACATAAGGGGGGGGGAACACATCTAGAGTATGTGTGTGTGTGTGTGTGTTTTATCTTATCCGGATGGTTACTAATTCCTTTTCTTATGGGGGAACACCAGGAACACCATGGGTGTTACAAAGTTGACTAAATCCTCCAAAATGCAATGAAAGTGTGATTAGCACTTGTATATCTTCAAAGGTCTACTGTGAAGGATATCATGAAGCCTTAATGCAATCGAATCTAAAACAAAAAAGTTACGACTGATGAAAGTAGTACATCGGTCAGATTTGACCCGAAGACAACAGGAGGGTTAAGAACTCTTGTACCCTCTTTTCAACCAGCGGTTTAAAACATCAACATTTGTTATATTTGATATTGACGCAGCAAAATCAGAAGGAGACCATTGTGTGAGTTGAGGGCATGGTATTGTGTTAAATCAAATAGGAACGAAGAAGACCACTAGCTAGTAAAGTATTTATACTTCAAGGACACACGTAATAAACGTTGGTGTTAACACGACAATTCCTCTGTTAGGAGAAACTGTATTTCCAAAATCATCTTGAATGCAGTCAACATACATTTGAATGGCTAATCCAATACTGTTTCATAATTCAATCTGTTCCACACATCACGCTAAAGAAACCTCTGTGTTCATCTGTCTATAGTTTTCCATCTTGCACGTTATTATCTCCGTGCAGTCTGAATATCAATTAGACGAGAGCCTCTAAACCTCATATATTATTGATGTGAGGAAGTTTGATCCAAGATGAGTTATGAGACGGTTGTGTTTCCAGATGATGATGTTTCTCAGTTTCTCAATGACTCCATGGGTCTTTCTCAATGTCGAGGACGCTTGCTTGGTAGCACATGTCTTCCGAGTCACTTGCTTCAGAAGCGAGGCAAGAGTCCTTCCTAGCCTCGGAAAACGAAGAATTGTGAACAGGTGTGCGTCATATGCGAGGCCCCGCCTTAAATGTGGCGTGATTTCCGCCAAAGATTTGTAAATTGGTCCGTGCGCAAAGCATTGTGGGGATTTTAAGACTGTGCAGTCTACACATGTGCAGCCTCGAAATTTCTTGGTACGAAGTACGCCGGGCTCGGTAGAATTCCAAGTATGCTGGACATTGGAACAGTCCTTCGGCGGCACTCGATGACTTAGTATGCTTGAAATAGTGGCTCTGGAGCAGCTTTACTCGACATTGATAAACTCAAAATTGTGTGTGTGAAGACTTTTTCTATTACAGGGCTCGACATTATAAATGGCCCGCTGGCCCGGAAGCATTATTTAGACACCCCGGGCTAGCATAACGTACTTTCCACTTGCCCGCTCGGGCCACTAAAAATATTGTTTAAAAAAAATGTGTCCTGTGGTATTGGTATTTTGACTAGCAATTTAGTTAAATTGTTTCGTTTATTAACGCCACAACATAGCGTTTCGTGAGTCGGTTGTCGTTGTTGGGTGAAAAGCAAACAGCTGTTTGCTGTGGAGCGCAGCGCGAGCAGGCTCCCCTGAGCGGGAGCGCGCTCCTTCACTACAGACTATCGCGCCACCTAACCATTCGCCAAATGTTTTTAATACCAGCGGTAACCGGCCAAGCGCCGGGCAAAAAACAATCTTCAAATAAAAGAAAGTCACCGGAGGAGTTAAAGGAGAGTGACAGGGAGCATGAGAAGAAGAGGGAGAGAACGTTTCAGCCAGCTTGATCGATGGAGTTGGCTTCTAGTGGTGCAGTGACGCGTCCTAAAACCCTTTTATAATCTATCGATTAGATTTATGATTCGAACATTATAAAAGTAGGGTAGACATGTGGAGATTATCCGGCTGAACAAAACGTGCATTTATCAAACAGGTTTGTTTTCCACAGACCTTATTTCCAGCTATTTTCCAAAACCCTGTGGAGAAATCCCATTGCTTTTTGTCGAGGGAACCAGCAGCTTACTTCCTGGTTTTAGGATGCGTCACTGCACCTCTCAATATGATGCCAATATAAACAAGGTCTTCTGTCGGCTCTGTACATCAATGCCGACCTATGCTGACAAGTAAGTGAAGAGTAGACAATATAAAGGTATTGGCTTTAGGGAAATGTCCCAGCAGTTTAGGATAATCAAGGATCTAATCTAATCTACAGCCATTACATGTCTAACTCCTAATGACAGGAAGGCAGAAAGTGCATTATACAAATAATAATACTCATAATAATAGCAGACATTTTTTAACAATGACCACAATATCATTAGTTTAATAAACCAAATATGAACAATTGAGGAAAATGAGGAAGAACTGATGATTCAAATGTTGTAGTACAAGTAGTAATGTAGTTAGTGCATAAATTACTATTGCAACAAATGTGTTAATTATCTTCATTATTAGTCGATTTTTTTTGGACGAATGCTCCGGGCCAGTGGTTACAATGGTGGGGCCAGTGATAATACAGTGACAATACCCTTAATGTCTACCCCTGCTATACATCCTTTTTCTATCGTTTAAAAGGACGAGGCGGCAGATTGGCCAAACATAAGACGATTATGGAAATATAAATAAACTTTGCCTCCGCTGCGGTGGATTGTGCGGCTGTCAGAGGACGGGGAGAAAGTGAATTCACAAACTAACAAAGGCATGAAGAGATACAGAACATGGATACGCATGCGAGTGCGTCATACACGTCATACATAGTCGCTTATAGATCTAAAAATATGATTTCTAAGCTGCTGAATGCTCCATGAACTTCATCATGTAGCTTAACATATGCTCACTGATGTCACAGAGACCCAGTGTTACGTCCCCAGCTCGCTTAGGGTAAAAGGGAAGCAACACGAAACCAGGTGTTCTTGGTAAGAGGTTGATTTTAATAATAAACTCAAAATAAAGATGATATAACCAAAAATACAGGCTCTTAAAACCAGCTATCTGTTCAAAATAACGCTACACAAAACGAAGGTCACAGATTATCACAGTCATAGCGCACTATGGGCACTTAAGGCTAAAATAGTGAGGCGTCTCGCACAAGTTCGACCCCATCACAAATCACAGAATACACACTTAAGCACACACCCTAACTAACCACTGTATCAGAACTAGCACAGAGCTACACAGAACATAAGGAGAGCACCGAGAGACGTCTGACACAGATTCAGACCTCTCCTGTCTAACTGAGATAGACACACTCTTGTAAGAGTCCCCGGAAGGTGTGGGCAGGGATTAGTGAGTCGGGCCCAACCTGCTCCAATCCAGATCTTCGGTCACGCCTACCGGAGGAGGGACAGGAAACTGGCATCCAATGGCGTCCGGGCAACGGCGCATCTCATATACATATAACATACACAGCTGAAAACAATCCTAGACAGGTTAACGAGCAGACAGCAGCAGCAGCCGTGACACCCCCCCCCCCTTAAGACACAAACTCACAGTTTTGTTAACCATGCCTACTACTAAACCTACCTAATAATTCTGAAGGACCAAAAGACTCGAAGGAAATCTCCACACACAATACACGCTAAACACAACTAAAAATCAAACATTTCTCCCTAAAGAAAATGTTTGACCTCTCAAGGACTAACAGACTCTGAAGGACTAACAGACTCTGAAGGACTAACAAATTCATAAGGACTCATAATGTGCCTGACTGCGGCTGCTCTTTGCGTTTCAGCGACAAACAGTTGGCAATGACATGCCCAGGTTCGCAACAGTAAAACACTCTACACCACAATACGATCCGGCAAACATTTCTTAAATTCTTCTAACAGAAGCAATTCTCGCAGAGAAGCAAAATCATTCGCTTTATGGTTGTGACCCATTTATCGGACATGCTTCCCTTTTCCCTGCCGAACTCCACATATGTTTGTCAGTCTCACGGAATACCGGAACCAAAGAAATATTTCTGCTAATATCAAAGCCAACAGAATTCAAGTTAGTGGAACTGGGTGTCATACCTGCGGGTGGGGCTGGTGCGTGTGTCTGCGCATCCAGCTCCAGCTTCCTTATTTCTAGCTGAAACTGTAGCTGTGCCTGCCCGGCCCGCTCCTTAGCCTCTATCTCAAGACGTGCTATGCGGACTTTAATCCTCACCACATCTTGAGAGCCATCACTTGCCGTGGATAGTGCATCGAATCGAGGAAGTGTACCCCCAAATAAGTTACGTCCCCAGCTCGCTTAGGGTAAAAGGGAAGCAACACGAAACCAGGTGTTCTTGGTAAGAGGTTGATTTTTTTAATAATAAACTCAAAATAAAGATGATATAACCAAAAATACAGGCTCTTAAAACCAGCTATCTGTTCAAAATAACGCTACACAAAACGAAGGTCACAGATTATCACAGTCATAGCGCACTATGGGCACTTAAGGCTAAAATAGTGAGGCGTCTCGCACAAGTTCGACCCCATCACAAATCACAGAATACACACCCTAACTAACCACTGTATCAGAAATAGCACAGAGCTACACAGAACATAAGGAGAGCACCGAGAGACGTCTGACACAGATTCAGACCTCTCCTGTCTAACTGAGATAGACACACTCTTGTAAGAGTCCCCGGAAGGTGTGGGCAGGGATTGGTGAGTCGGGCCCAACCTGCTCCAATCCAGATCTTCGGTCACGCCTACCGGAGGAGGGACAGGAAACTGGCATCCAATGGCGTCCGGGCAACGGCGCATCTCATATACATATAACATACACAGCTGAAAACAATCCTAGGACAGGTTAACGAGCAGACAGCAGCCGCAGCCGTGACACCCAGACAGACACCAACAAAGCTTATTGTATATACAACAATGATAGTAGGCGGGTGGCGCAGTGGTTAGAGCGTGCTCCTGTGGGGATTGCCCACAGTATTGAGTATGTAAGTCGCTTTGGATAAAAGCGTCTTATAAGTGACATGTAATGTGATAGTACCTGTTGTATCTCGTCATCACAGTTTACAGTACGCTTTTACAAATGATCTTATTAATATTGGGAGCTTGGTGAGTTTATAACTTAAAGGGGATTTCATTATTCACAATCTCTTTATTATAGATAATAATATGAACTGTATTAAAAGAGATTATCTAATTCAACACTTTTCTATAAAAACAGAGAAGTCAGAATTAGCCATGCTTTCTGAATACAGCTCTCTGTTGATTAAAACAAATGTTCAACCAAGAGCTAAATTATTTATCATTCTTTTTGTATCTTGTCTTTTTATTTATACGTTCTTTGATAGTATTTGGTTATTTTTAAGGAATTTTAAAATATTTGTAATATTCTGTGATTATAATTCGATAGCCGACATGTTTATTTTATTATTACTTTTTATATTGTGATTTTATTTATTTTCTTAATTGTCATTATTCCTTTTTAATACTTTTTTGACTGAATCAAATCATAACAAAACTCGTACTTTTCACTCCATCAAAATGCAACTCAAGGGTTCCCTCTTACCACGAAGATGAAGCCGATGCTCATCATCTTGGCGGTCCTCTGCACGTTGTGGTTGTTGAGCCCTCTCCTCTCGATCAGCTGCTGAGAGATCACGTCCCCAACGCCCATCAGAGACCCTGCAGGACAACCAGGACTCAGTTGAGGATACAGGCGAGGATAAACGGTATGATACACGTGGATTATTGTACACATGTGGAGGAGGTTATACACTTTCTATTTCGACATACAAGTCGCTAAGAAGGTTTCTCCAGTGACAAGATGAAGAAACTCCAGCACCAGTCAATTGTTACGCTACTTCTTTCGTGTAACGTTAGAGGTCCAACTCGGTGTCGTGTAGCCATGCCCGCATCTCTGGTCCTAGGTCTAAGAGGCCGGCTTCCGAGGGTGGTCTATATAAGGGGTAGATGGTGATTATATGGACAGCGGTCTGCTCAGGGTCACCGCACTCGCATGCCGCACTGTCCGCCAAGCCCCACGTCTTCATCGATGTTTTAAAGCGACCGACCCCAGTTCGTAGACGGTTCAGAGTGGTCCACTGCCGGCGCGGTAGGTTGTCTCCTCCAATGGCGCCATCTCCTGGGTCCCAGATGTAACGGTGGATTCGGGCGGGCCTGGCTGACTCCCACTCCTGCTTCCAAGCTGCTGCCAACCATGCATCTCTGGAGATGTCCTCAGAGGTGGAGTTGAGCATCTCTTGAGCTGCTTTGTTGTAGGGGACGACATTTTTGCACTCCCACATCATCTTTTTTTATATATATGCTGCTTACTTGAAGTCAACGGTTATTTTGAGTGTTCTTGCCTTTTAATGTGCGAGTGTTTTATACCTCAGGACTGTGGGGAAACAGTATTTCGATCTTTCTGTGTGTCCAAACATATTTTGAGATTGACAATAAAGTTGACTTTGACTTTGAAAAGTGTGTCGAAAAAGAGGGTCTTGTCAGGATCTGGATTAATACTGAGCGAAACCAAGAGGTAGGACCTCGGTGGGGGACGAATAACCCCCGATAAATGTCTATTAAAATGTGCCAGTATTTCAGAGTGTACAGAACAACAAGTCCCGTGTTCTGCCAGGTCACTGTTTCGTCAATAAAGTCTGCAGGATTTGAAGTTAAGTTTCCAGTTGAAAAGTAAAGTCGTGGAAATAATCTAAATACACAATTAAACTAGTTTTTACATTTGAAGTGGGCTTCAATTTCAGGCAGCTAAAAGTAAAGTGTGTTGCTGCCCTTGGCCACAGTGTTGAGGCATGTTCAGGTCATGCCTATGTATTACTATAGACATATATTAATAAACTCAAACTTTATGCACATTTCGATATAATAAAAATGCCTTTTTTCTTGTTAGGAATCATCTCAGAAGGTTAAAGTCACAACAGCAGGTAGGAACAGCTGTGACGTCCATATTATTTGTAGGTGGCGCCGTTTTTTGGTTTTAAGAGTCTAGACATGTATTTATTAAAAGGTTAATATGTTTATGACCAGTCCAAGAATCAGTAAAATAATATATAATACACTGACGGGGATACATACATCATACGACCCCACTTCAACAATAAGAAATCACTTTTTAAATTCAATTGGACTGCTTTTTAGTGCTGATTTCTTCTTAACAGCACAGTGTAAAAACACAGACCCAGCTGAACATAAGGTAACCTTTCCCTAAAATGTCACGGGAGGATTAATATAAAGAGGTTTAGGATGATAAAGTGGACAGAAAATGTCAACTGTGGAAGATCAGAGCAATAAATGATCCGTCTGAGACACCTGGAGGGACCATAGAGAGATCAGGGGCTTCACACCTCCCTTTATGATCAGACAAAAGATACATTTTTATCAAAACCTAAAAAAAACACTGACTATTTGGCGACTGTGGCTGCGAGGGAGTGCGGTCGTCTTTCAACCAGAAGGTTGTGGGTTCGATCCCAGCCCGTGCAGCCAACATGTCGATGTATCCTTGGGCAAGATACTGAACCCTGAGTTTCTCCCGATGGCCAACGGTGTGTGAATGTTAGGTCCTAGAGTTAGGTACACTGCTCTGTATGAATGGGTGTGAATGACATGTAGTATGTAAAGCGCTTTGAGGGGTCGTAAAGACTGGATAAAGCGCTTTATAAGTACAGTCCATTTACCATTTACCATTTACTCGCATGAACAGGAAGGAAACGTCTTTTTGAACATGTTTTATAACGAGGGCATTAATAGAGGAAAGACTAGGGGGCAAAAATACATATTCTAACGTCACATTTAATATTTTATCTCAAATTATTATCAGAAAATTGTTCCAAAATGAAAAGTACTCATTAATTAATTTTGAATTATTATATTAAAGGATTGTATTTTGTCAATGTAGAGCACGTTTTTAAATATGTTGCATACCACTGGGTAGATTAGCAGTACTGCATCATATCATGTGTTTTTTTTCATGTAGAAAGTTACTATAAGTGTCAAATAACTGAAGTTAAACGTACAATATTTCCCTCTGAAATGTAGCCGAGAAGGAGTATAAAGAAGCAAGTATGTCACAGTTGTATTAAAGTAAATGTCTATTCAATTAAATATAATAAAGTACGTCCTTTTACATATTTAAAGCCCTGACTGATTGTGAGTATTATCGCGGCAACTGGTAAGCTTTGTCCCCACCTAGTGGCGATTTAACTGTACTACACTGTAATAATGCAGTAGAGTTGCTGAACCCGCCTCCACACACACACACACACACACACACACACACACACACACACACACACACAGCACACACACACACACACACACGACACACACACCACACACACACACACACACACACACACACACACACACACACACACACACACACACACCACACACACACACACACACCACACACACACACACACACACCACACACCACACACACACACACACACACACACACACACACAACACACACAATACACACACACACACACACACACACACACACACACACACACACACACACACAATACATGTTCAGTGTCTGTTCTTTGTATATTTACTGCAGTGTCTCATGTATACCAGTAGTCTGATATAATATGTACAGTTTGAAAGGGTGTTAAATGAAATGTGGTGATGATTCATGGTTGTTGTGTTAATGTAATAGCAGTTAAAACAGGACCGGTCACATTTGACCGTGAACACCAAAGTAAATATAGATAGGGGGGGGGGAACGAACACAACAGGAGGGTTAAAGGGAAGCACATTACAAACACAGATATTTTTGGCCTTACACAATAGTTTTGAGGAGGACATAAGCTATAAAGTCCTCAAATATGATCAACTAAACTCGAACAAGGGGGTTATATTTTTACAATTGTGATTTTATAAGTTGACTTGATTATTTATGTTGCATTCTCAGTGCTTAGTCTCTATTGCTCTCAGCGCTAGCATTAATATAAAGCACAACAAAAACTACAGTTCAGTTCAAAGGTCTCTGTCCTTTGTTGATTCTGAGGGGCAAAGTAAACTGGAGCAAAGGTCATGAAAAGCGAAGCCTCCTTACACACATTGCATTCATACTCAAACTGGTAAAAAAGAGTCTTTATGTACCTTTGAATAAAAAAAACCTTTTCGTTATAATCCCTTTTTAAATGTCACTTGAGTAAGACTTTGAATGCATGACTGTGACAGTATGTTTACACCGTAGTATTGCAACGTTTTACTTCTGTTAATTGGAGTTGTTGGATATGCATGTTATCAGCGTGTAAGAGAGGAGGGGTTATTCCTACCAGCAGTCACTATCTGCACACTCCAGGGGTATTTGGTCATCAACACCTGGTAGGATTTCCACAGTCCCGCCATTCTCCCTCTGAAGAAAGAACATGTTTAAAAAGGAGACATTAGTTTTACCCACTAACCCCGCCCACCGTCAGGCAGGCAATGTGACTCAAATCAAGCGACCCTGCTAATACGTTCCCTTATTTCGTCAATTAGGGTTTATCAATTAGATTAAGAAGTTTCTTTCAGTTACTAGTAAGCTACTTAAACAAATACTTTAAACATACGTATGCTTTCTGAGAAGGAAAGGAAAAGTTTTAATTAGGCAACAGTTTGAGTAAATTTTGTCCAAATAAAAACTAGCTTTTGCCATAATTAAAATGCAAAGCTATGTTTTTAAATAAACTACGTGCTTCTCAGTGAAATATGTGAATGCCGAATAAAGGACAATATTTAAATCATCTAAGGGAAGCTAAAAACGAAGAGGTGAAAGACACGTATTTAAAAACAACCAAGAACACTTTAAATTGTTACATTTCTGAACGAGCTTCGGTGTTACGTTCAGTGACGTTTGAGCTACAGCAGGTACATCTTTATGGAGGACGGAACATGACTTAAGTATAAATAAATAAATGTATGAAGAAATACAGGAATAAATAAATAAATACCTAAATAAATAAATAAATACAGGAATAAATAAATACAGGAATAAATAAATGACAAAATAAATACAGAAATAAATAAATGTTGAAATTAATATACAAATAAATAAATAAAAGAATAAATGCATAAATAAATATGGAAATAAATACATCAATGTATAAATAAATAAATAAAAGTCGAAAATAAAACAGAACACACGTTATTATATATCTTTCATTTATTTCTACATTTACGCGACATACATTTATTTATTTATGTATTTATGTGTCCGTATGCTAATGAGGTGGGCGGTCCTAACCTCAGTCTGAAGCAGGATTCGCCAATTGTTGGAGCCAGGCAGAAGCAATAGATTTGTGGCAAGTCACATCATGTCGAGCTGAGCCAAGTCCTCTATACATCGTTCCACACGAAACTGGACATAGTCTTTTGGTTCTCCGTTCTATAAATGGTCCGCTAATGATTGTAAATGATCTCCAATGGCTCTTAAATCAATATCCATAAATAAACCTTACAACTGTGGATAAACCATGGATGTATAAAGATAAGGGCTAAACAGTAAAGCTCCTGCATTCGAATCAGCGTGGTTATCCAGACGTTAGTAGTAGAGCCCTCTGCCAGAAATGATCACACACTCCTGTAACCAATCCTGCTTCAGACTGAGGTTAGGACCGCCCACCTCATTAGCATACGGACACATAAATACATAAATAAATAAATGTATGTCGCGTAAATGTAGAAATAAATGAAAGATATATAATAACGTGTGTTCTGTTTTATTTTCGACTTTTATTTATTTATTTATACATTGATGTATTTATTTCCATATTTATTTATGCATTTATTTATGCATTTATTCTTTTATTTATTTATTTGTGTATTCATTTCAACATTTATTTATTTCTGTATTTATTTCGTCATTTATTTATTCCTGTATTTATTTATTCCTGTATTTATTTATTTATTTACGTATTTATTTATTTATTCCTGTATTTCTTCATACATTTATTTATTTATACTTAAGTCATGTTCCGTCCTCCATACATCTTGGCAGCACGTTTTGTGTTGCATCACAGTCAACCTCAATACCAATTAGAGTGCATTATATAGCTTGTAACTAACTTTAAGTCTGCATTAACTTGTAAATAAATATAACTTTCTAACCTTATCAGTTACAGACACCGAGCTGCTACCTTCTCGCACACGTAGTTTAAAGGTAATGTGTATAAATACTCACTTTATTGCAGTAAATTAAATGTGAACATGCCCGTTTGTGATCCCGGCTTCAAGAGAGCTGCTGGTGATGCGTTCAAGTCGCCAGCCTGAGCTCCGAATTTTGAGCTCTACAAGTAAAGGTCCCAAGTTTAATCAAAAGGTTTGTTTTGAACCCAATAATACTCCACATTCTGGTGCATTTTCAACATTTAAGAGGTCTAATTAACTCACAAATTAATACATAAAGAACTCTTTATTCAATATAATCAAGATATAACTGCCAGCTTGGGTCAAAAATATATATAATTAGTTAAAACACAATGCACAACCTATACAGAGTAAATATGTAGAATGTTTTGAATTGAATTTAACAGATAGCAGCATTAAAGATAACACAGAAGAGGAGTTGTATTCTCAGTTCATACATCTTAATTTTAATTATCCCTAAACAATGCTGAACTTTTTGTAGATGTGTTTATAATAAGTATTAAATCAAGCTGTCCTTATTGTCCTGAGTAAAATCAGAACACTCACTTTGTCCTTTAAAAGCAAATGGATAGCACAAAAAGCAAAACAAAATCATAATTTCCTACAGCCCTGGAAGGTAGCATAAGGACTGCAGGTGCGTCACTTCCGGTGTAAACAAAAGTCTGCTGCCCTCCTGTGGGAAACTCCAGTATCAAAACAATAATCACAATCATAAACTACATGTATAAGTTATTTTAAATGATTATTCTTGACATTGCACTGAACACACAGTTACATTAATTAATGGCTGTGATGCATTCAGGTGTTCCCGTACACACTAGTTAACTAGAGCACCCAAATACAAATGAGCCACTAGTAATGTTTTTATGTTGTAGTTTGAAGTCCACCTGTACTAACAGCACATTCAAACCAAATCTGAATGAATGCACACATGTGATGGACACTTTAAATAACATTAATAATGGATGGGTTTAATTTAGTCGCATCAGCACTGGTAGAATGACCATATTTATTCAAGTACTGAATGTTTATGCAACTTTTATCTCCTACGCCAATATTGTACTTCTCACTGAATTATATTTAACTTCACAGATTCAGATAATTATTAAACCTTTACATCAAATCAACCTTCAACAAACACTCTTTATATGGAAAATAAACAACTCAAAATGTATGTTTTTATAGCGTCTTCCATTACTTTGAGCTACTAAAAGGAACGCAATCATAATGCTTGTTAAAACTGTTTAAAGGTGGGTTAGGTAATTTATTCCAGAAACACTTTTTGTTATATTCCATGAAATGCTCTTAACCCTTCTTGCGTTAGGTCTTAGCCCCCCCCCCCCCCCCCCCCTCTTCCCATGCTATTTTCGGTCAAAATTGACCGGTGTGTTTTGCACAGTGATATCTCTGGAACCCCTTATCTAATTTTGATGGTTGACATCTCATTTGAACCGTCAAAGCAAGTAGAATCAAGGGGTGACAGACAGAAGGACACCAGGGGGCAATTTCATATTATTTTTTGCAGTTAGTTCAAAGATAGTGCTTATTTTACATTACTGTATTTTATAAAGATGCTTGCCATGTAGGCTGTGTTTACTGGAGATGGAAATGCTTTCGTTGGTGTTGTAGCTGAGATTCTTCCCGTTCCAATTATGTATGGGATGTATTGATTTGATACAAGCAAGCCAGTGTTTCATGTCATGGTGCGGACCCACCGGTGGGCCCATTAAGTTCAGCATTCACTGTGATGAATATAAAATAAGACACTGGTACTGTTTTCCTCAATGAACGTTTATTGAAAGAGAAATATACCATAACAGAACATGTGTGTGTGTGTGTGTGTGTGTGTGTGTGTGTGTGTGTGTGTGTGTGTGTTCACGCACATAGTTGGCAATGCAATATGATGGAATGTCACCTCAGGCTCCTCTATCTCAGGCTCCTCTCCCTCAGGCTCCTCTCCCTCAGGGGCCTCTTCCTGGTCTGTATAGCTCATAGTCTGGATCGCTGTTGTCTTCCATTTCTGAGACATCTTCCTCTATCTCCTCTTCATCTGGTTCAAAAAATATGTCCAGAGCCTCTCGTACAGAAAATCGCCTAATCGGTCGCCTGCTCTTTGTGTCAATGAGTCAAATGCGAGCAAGGCACAAATATAACTGCTTGAGAGCCAGTAAGGGAGGCGCATTTAGCGCGAGAAAGTGAGAGGTTTGTGTTTCTCGAGGGGCACAGAGCTCGCACCTGTGAGTAGGTATGATCAGTGGCGACTGGTCATTAGGGGCAGGTGGGGCACAGCCCCACCTAGTGTCAGCAGAAAGTATTAAAAGTAATGATTACAAAAAAATGCAAAAAATAAATTAAAAAATATATAAAATATATGTTAAGATCATGTTTAATCATCTGATTCGTCTGTACATTGCTGTTTTAGTATGTGTTCTTCTAATTAGTGTCTACAGTGTGTGCCTATTGAGCTGTTTAGAGCCATGTGGGACAAAACCCGATCCTGCCCCTCCCTCTCCCTGTTTAAGTCAATGGTGACTGTAAAAACTACACTGCGCATGCTCAGAGTATTGTCCTATTTAATGTGTGTGGCAAAAAAATAATGACCATAGGGGCATAGAGCTGCCATCCCCACCATACGTCATCTCACATCATTCAGAGCTGATTGGCTGTAAGTACGTGTGCCGCGAAAAGTGTGGTGTGTGAAGAGGAGGAGAGAGAGCTGCAGTGAGGCGTCCTAAACCCCGGAAATAAACTGCGCATGGTTTCCCTCCACAAAAAAGCAATGATATTTCTCCATAGAATTTTAGAAAATAGCTCAAAATAAGATCTGTGGGAAACAAACCTGTTAGATAAATGCACGTTTTGTTCAGCCGGATAATATCCACATGTCTACCCTACTTTTATAATTTTCGAATCATAAATCTATTGATTAGATCAGATTTATGATAGACTTTTGAAACTACAAGAACATAAGGAGGACTTTTACAAAAAAGTAATAGAGATTTTTGTCCAGAAGGATAGGCAAATGGACTTCATCTTCATGTCAAGGTAAGACTGCAATTTGATTGAAAATGGGATCTTACTAAGAGAGAACAATTAAATATTTAAATGATACAATTACATTTTTTGGGTATCCTTTTGTTGAACTGTCTGTTTAAAATTAATTGAAGCATCAGACAAAAAAAGCTTTTGAAAATAATATTATATTTTGATTTAGGTCAACATATAATATTTGTAAACCTGAAGAGTCAGAGCCTCACCAGCCATGAACCTCAGAAGCTTATATATAGACATCTAAGTTTTGTGTGCCCCACCACTTTTGTACATATAAAAACGCCACTATGATACATTGTAACATACAGCGCGAGAAAGGGAGAGGTTCCCGTAACGTGTGTGTGTGTGTGTGTGTAGATTTCCATCTGCAGGATAAACATAATACACTCATACCCATTCATTTTCTATGGCGGTCATCATGGATGTTTCACTGTTGAATAAATCACTCAATAAATACTTGAATAAATATGGTCACTCAATAAATTCAATCAAGTGGTGATCATCAAGTGTTTATGTTCAGAGGCCTAGTGTGGAGGATAACATAAGGTATTGAGGCAATTGGATGAAAAACACAATATTTATGATTAAAACAAAAGTCATTCGGTCACTTTTGACCCGAAACGCAAGAGAAGGGTTAACATCCCGATAGCAATGAATATATTAAATGCTTTGACAATAAATATATACAATCTGTGGAAGCCGTGGCGCTGTAAAAAGCACGACCAATCATCTGAGCCGGCCCGGCTAAAGTAACTGGATGGCCTACCTGCCTGTCAGCCTTCCATCTGTGCACACACTTATCTCGTGCCCTCATTGGTCATGTGTGCGTTCGTGTGTGTTGGAGGAGGGGCTCTGTGAGGAAGTCTGAAGGAAGGGGCAGATTATTTTCAGCTGCGTACTTTCAAATTCTAGCGCACTCGAGCTGGTTTCTCCATTCTTACCTACCCCACCTTTAATTGAAGTGAATAAGGCCTTTTTCTTTAAATACACCTGGGGTGCGTTCCAATACCCAAACTGTTTAGCATGCCAGAAACACATGTATTTTGTCCCAAAACATTGAACATCAAATCAAATGTGCCAAAAAATAGCAATGCTGTTGCAGTTTGCACACCAGCATGCATTTTGGGATGTTCTTACCCATAATCCCTTGCTCTTCGGATATTCCCACACCACACCGCTCACTTCTCCACTTCACTGGCTTCCAGTGACAACCATAGATATATATAAACATTTTTGTTTATATAATATATATATAATAATGTTTATATATATATCTATGCCGGTAACTGCTAGAATCCACTTCAAGACACTGGTACTTGCGTACCATGCTGCGAATGGATCTGGCCCTTCCTACATCCAGGACATGGTTAAACCGTACACCCCAGCGCGTGCACTACGCTCTGCATCAGCCAAACGACTCGCTGCACCCTCGCTGCGAGGGGGACCCAAGTTCCCATCAGCAAAAACACGTGGGTTTGCTATCCTGGCTCCAAGATGGTGGAATGAGCTCCCCATTGACATCAGGACAGCAGATAGCTTGCACATCTTCCGGCGCAGACTGAAAACTCATCTCTTTCGACTCCACTTCGAGCGATAGAACGATTAACAAAGCACTTTTATACTAATAAAGGACTGGTTTACCTAAAGCCAGTTGAGTAGCACTTGAAATTTTTGGCTCTATGAAACCTGATGTACTTACGATTCTGTTTTCTTCAAGGTTGTGTCTTCCTGGTCGAATGTACTTATTGTGAGTCGCTTTGGATAAAAGCGTCAGCTAAATGTAATGTAATGTATACAGTATGTTATGTCAGACTATTATGTCCCAATTGTATGCATACTGCAGTAACAACATACGTGTTGTTATTTCTTGTGAAGCGCTTTGAGCACCAGGAAAAGCACTATATAAATAACATGTATTATTATTTGTATTATAATTATATATACAAGGGTATCTGCAGTATGTATTAAAAGGAAACGTATGCAAATCGGGAGGCAGCCGTTGTTTATGCACTGAGTCTTGGACAGTAGATGAAACACTAATATAATAATATATTATAGGCTGTGAAATAATGCAAAGATGTAGTAACACTGCAAACAGTATAATGAATAAATAAAAGGCATTAAAAGCGACAGCAAAGTAAAGAAATCACAAAGAGTACGTTTCCCAAACGGGTCAGTTTCTGCGTTTAATTCATAAAAACACAAACACTTTACATGTGAGATTAGACTTGAATGGATTTGAATATATCTATCTTATGTAAACACGGGTGCTGTCGTGTTTTTAAATTATGACACTTGATCCCGAGCAACAACACTTTCCATTTGGTCTCCCGGTCCATTACATTAGGAAATGACCGTGTGAACTAAAGAAGCGATTTAAGGCCACAGAGCATTTCTACACACAAGAGCCAAACACTGATATAAATAACAGCTACATTTAATTGAGATGTTCGTAACAATGACGTTCAACTCCATTTAAATTAATATAATGACCTCTGAGCGTGGTTGAAAACAAAATGGCTCCTTGTTATATTACTGCGGTAACAAAGGAATAAAAAGGCAACAGATAATATAATCATATTGACAGTGTTCCCTTGGTTATCTTCAAGTAATGTCGTTGTTGTTGTAGCCTGAGATAATATTATACAGTACTAATATCATTAAATCAAAGCTGCAATACATTAATGATTCTAACATCATATTAAAAACACAGTACACTGTCAAGTATACATGATGTTTACCCTCCTGAACTCTGGACATTTCATCCCCTGAATATCCAACACTCGGGATAGAGACTGTTCTTAAAACACGAGGCGTTATTTTTCTGGTTGTGTGCAATGATTCAGCTTCTTAGGAGGAAAATATAAGCACTATGCAAGCATTTCAAAAGGTACATAACCACTAGGGTGGCACAATTCTGGGAATTTTCAAAGATGGAAACTTTCCATGGGAATAAACGGGAATTAACTGGGAATTTTCAAAATTGAAGGTTGGCTCTTCAAAGGGAACTTAAAGGTGGGGTAGTTAAGTCTGAGAAACCGGCTCGAGATACACTTGTTATATTCCATGGAATGCTCTTAACATCCCGATAGCAATGAATATCTGAAGTGCTTTGTCAATAAATACATACAATCTGTGGAAGCCGTAGCGCTGTAAAAAGCACGACCAATCATCTGAGCCGGCTAAAGTAACTGGATGGCCTACCTGCCTGTCAGCCTTCCATCTGTGCACACACTTATCTCGTGCCCTCATTGGTCATGTGCGCGTTCGTATGTGTTGGGGGAGGGGCTCTGTGAGGAAGTGGCAGATTTTTTCCGGTTGTGTATTTTCACTCGAGCTGGTTTCTCCAAAATGACCTCCCCCACCTTTAAATAAAGTTGGGGAAAGTATATTTTAGCATAATCTTGACTAAAACAAACCGATGACATTCCTCAATCACATGCACACTGCTTACTGCATGGCTATTGAGACCACACTAGGGCTTAACGATTAATCAATTTTAAATCGAAATCGCGATTTTAAATGATGCAATTATCATTCGCAAAGCCCGCTCTTCTTGTGTGTCAGTCATCCACACCAATCAGAAGTGCTGTGCTCCACATGTACCAGCCATTGTTAACCAATCAGAAGTGCTGTGCTCCACATGTACCAGCCATTGTTAACCAATCAGAAGTGCTGTGCTCCACATGTACCAGCCATTGTTAACCAATCAGAAGTGCTGTGCTCCACATGTATCAGCCATTGTTAACCAATCAGAAGTGCTGTGCTCCACATGTACCAGCCATTGTTAACCAATCAGAAGTGGCCCATGATAGAAGGTGATAGATAGATTGATCCAATCACCTGCCTTTTCCAAATGGCTTCCAATGGAGCTTTAGATGGTTTGGTGAACCATCTGGGTCAGGTTAGCAATGCTCCATCACATGTTTCTATTACAGGGTGAATCTTAAACTGAAGCTTGACTTTAAAGCAACCCAACGGGAGTTTCATGTAAGTTTAGTTCTTTCACTCGTAGCTCGGGCTGCGGGGGCGCTAGAGACCTTCCTAGCCGGAGATATGGCTGCATTTTACAATAAGCCTCTGTTGGGTCGCTTCAAAACAAATATCGCAAATCGAATCGCAATATCTGTCAGAAAAATCGCAATTACATTATTTCCCCAAATCGTGCAGCCCTAGACCACGCCCCCTACAGGCACTGTGCATTCCTCCATCACATGCACACATGATTTCTAGAAGACTGGACCACACTTTTGAATGAGTGGGGTTGGGGGGGATGAGTAATATTTAACTCACCATTCATGTTTTTGTTCTTCAATGAAACAAATGATTGTTTAATAAAATAATAAAAACTTGTTCTGTTCTACTTACAAATAAATCTGTTGAAATGTCATGTTTTTAAATTGTATCATTTTGCATGGATGTCTTGACAAAACAAAGTGTTTATATTTATGCTTGGATAGGATACAATTCGATTACATTACCCTCAATTCCTAGTTAGTTCCCATTCATTCCCATGGAATGTTTCCAATATGGAATATTTCCCAAATTCCCCAGCTTAACTTCCCATGGAAACGTTCCGCCCCTTTGTAACCCTAATAACCACGCATTTGCAGACTCTCAAGGCCTGTCTCTTCTTCACATCTAAATTGTAACTATAAATACAAATACATAATTCCTTTATGTATATATCTTTTAACTTTTTAAGGAGTGTATTCAAAGTCAAACACATTTTCTGACCTTGTAATCATAATGGTGTAAAATAAAGATCGCTTCAAATGTTGAATAGTTTTGATTTTACACTTTTAAGTACTTATTTTTAACTACTCAAGAATTAAAACTGACTGAGACTCACTGTGCGAAATCCTGAAAGAAACTCAGAGGATTTTTAAAGAGTGCCCTATTATGCTTTTTCAAGTTTTCCCTTACCTGTAGTGTGTTATTTAGGTTTTAATGCATGTCAATGGTCTGCAAAGGCTAACATCTAAACGTTTTCACTATGTAACATTGCCGCATTTATTGGCTCCAACGCATTGTACGTGATCTAAGGGGCGGGACATCTCGAAGCGGTTGACCAGTCACAACACAGCCGGCCAGCTAACCAATCAGAGCAGACTGGGCTCTGGTTTCAGACAGAGGGTGAAAAGAGGTGCAGCAGCACAGGCAGTAAGAGGAAAAGAGCTTTATGAACATGAAAGTCACAGTAGGGCCGCTTTAAGCCTCTTCCAGTAAATCGGACAGTACGTATAATTCAAGCATCAACTCCAAAGCTTCAGCAACAAAAACACATTATTTGGCGACACATTATTTACACAATATTCAAGCATTTCTCTTAATCTGTAGAAGTACGTTGGGAGCCTTTTTTGAGATCGCAGTGAAATAATTACAAGAATGTGAACAATTCTTCCTGCAGGACGGGAAACACTTCGACCCCTTTTTAAACTTTCTGTAAACTCCTCCAAATAAATCTCCACTTTTCTCTCCGACTGACGTGACGGTGAACTCTGCTCGTCTGAACAGGAAGGAGTTCATTAAAGCTTCACCTCCTCAGCGTGGAGGAGCAGCGAGGGATGAAGGAGAGTCTTTTTTTTATTTAAACGTTTGAATGGCTGTAAGTGCTTCTGTAACAACCCTCCACTCTCCCTTCAGATGTCCATCCCATCGTCGCTCTCACACCAGTCTGACGGAGCGTCGGTGCCAAAGTAACGGTCTCCAAAATTACCTTTGGATACAAAACAAGAGGAGAGAGGTGATAAAAGCAGGTGGAGTGAGAAAGGTTCATAATGTGTCCTTTCCTTTAGGGTTATTCAGCAAACTAGGCAACACTCAGACCGGCAAACTCAAGTGCAATATAACAAAACAAACCCTTAACGTCTATTCTGAAAAGGAAACATGAAACCTTTGATAGGGTTTGGGGCGTTTACTCAACTGTTAGGGAATGTTAATGTGTCAAACATGCTATTTTGTATTTTATTATATATGTTGCATTGTTGGAGGAGCTCAGGTCAGAAGAATTTCATTGCCATTTCTACACTGCAGCTTGGAGCATATGACAACAAAACCTTTGAATCTATAAGGGTTATTAATATACATTTTTCAACGTGCATTTGTGTTTTTGTTTATTTTCTTGTATGCAACTTAACCCTCCCATATCTTGTGCAAAACTGCTTCTTGCAAATAAAAATGAGGGAAAGAGAGATGTGCTCACCGATGCCGGGGATGATGTGGAACTGGTCGTTGACCTCCTTGTCCACGGCGGTGGTGATGATGCGGACTTTAGGGAAGGCGTAGGCCACCGAGTGGACGCCCATCTCCGCCATCAGGAGCGAGATGAGGAAGATCTTATCCTCCGCTACATCGTGGTCCTGCAGAGGGGACGGGGGGGGAGAGAGAAGGCACATTAAGACGACAGAATACTTTGAGTACAGCTGGTAGAACACATGATGGTAGCCAATTGGTTTCTATCTTTGTATTCCTGCTAATTGACACTCATTTCTGGCTCTATCCTCCAATACCGTTTATTTGGCTCATGTGACACAGGTCTTCTTAAAATGCTCTGACGGGGAGCTTCAACACGTGTATTTCGGTTTATTCACGGCATTCATTTTTACTATTCTACAGTATTGTTGTGTTATAGTTATTTGTTAATGTAACCCAATTTGTGTTCTTTGAAATTGAAAAGGATATCGCATTGTGTTGCAGTTGTATATGTCGAAAGTCAAAGTGTAATTTGGCTTGGCTTCCTATTTTGTATGGACATGCTTTTACTTTGAAGGAGAGTTAGCGCTGTTGACAGGAAGTTGTTGTTGCTATGGAAACAACGTGACGGACAAAAGGAGTGGAGATTAACGGAGAAAAGCTAAATCTATATGTAAAGACGGAGAAAGCAAAGGATAAAGGAAAAAAAAGAATATCCCAATAACTTAATTGAAAACCGAATAGTGGGCCAACGACCGAATATTCGGATATTCAGGTACAGCCCTACCTCACATCCTGGGCTCGAGCTTAAGGACGTCCCGTCGTCCCGGGGCCGGAGAAAATAGTGTCGGGGAGGATAACAAATATTTTTCCGGGGAGGATGGTGAAAAAAGTTAGTCGAGAGCCCTACCTCACATCCAGGCTATTAGTCTCCCTAAATCACAACGGTGTCATTTAAAAGTGGATACCTTTGAAAAGGAAATGGCTTATTAAAATAAAAGTAATAAAAACAACAAATGGACCATAGCATTAATAGTTAGGGTTCATTAGGGATTGGGATATACGCTATACACTGCTATAGAAACATAGAGAGATGTGATCTGGTATTGCATTAGAAGACACAAATGTATCCAGAATTGTAGCATTTTGAAGTTAAGGAGCCCAGCTAGTAAGTTCATGTTAGAATAATGTCCCTCTTTAATGCACTACACAGTTTATATGTGGTAGCTTTGTGATTAAGCAAAGGACTAAATCCACATATGCATCTAAAAAATTAAAAATTTGAATCTAGAGTTTTCAGAGGGGTTTCGACCTACCAGCAGCACTCTGACGGCCATGAGAGCAGCAGCTCCGGTGGACACGGTGCTGTCCATCAGGATGACGTAATCCTCCGTGAGGTCTTTGGGCAGGCGGAGGTAGTGAAGCTAAAAGAAGGAAACAACAGTTAATACACATTTGCAGATATTCGGATATTAACAATAGCTACAAATCTTTAAGTCAAAGTCAACTTTATTGTCAATCTTTCAGTTTGTGTGTACAGACAGAGAGATCGAAATACAGCCACTTCAATATCTTTGGGAAATGTGCATTAGTGCAAGACTGTCCATAGCAGCGTAACAAGTGTGTGGTGCTGGATTTGAGTGTCTGAGTGTCTGAGTGTGTGGGGTGTTAGAGTCCAGGTCTAGTGACACATTTGCAGATATTCAGATATTGACAATCGCTAAAAATCTTTAAATCCCTGCAGGTAAAAAGCGGACTCCCTCACCTCCGGTTCCCCGGTGTCGTGGTTGGTCTGGATCAGGATCTTCCCCAGCCGGATGTCTTTGCACACGGCCATCAGAGCCTGCTCCATCGTCTCGCCTGCTCTCAGGATGGAAACGCCTGTGATCTGCACGAGAAAAACAAAGGTCAGTGGGATATGAGGTCTTTGATTACTACATAAAACACATACTTTGCGAGCACATCTCTTAACACATCAAACGCTCTCCCGGCAGCTTTACGTTCTAGACGTTTACATACAGCGCTAAACAAGTGCGAACATTTGGTTTCTAATGGATATGTATAAACTTGGAATGAATTGTCTCAGGAGTCTAAACGTCATAACTTGCACTGCAACATTTAGACCAGGGGGGTCAAACTCAAATACACAGTGGGCCAAAATTAAAAAATGGGTACTAGTGGAGGGCCGGACTGGTTCAATGTTTATTGCAGAACTTATTGAAATGAACTTATTGCACATATTAAACCTGGAACTAACAAAGCTTAAATGATTGCCTATAAAAACAACATTAAATAATCAGTTGCATTCATTTCTTATGGCTCTATCTGCAGCTTTCCCAGAGTCATTTCTTATGAGTACATTTTCCCACAGGCCAACAACAGCTTCAACAAAACTATTTCCCTCAAAGAGAAAACCAAACATGTCCTGTTGTCCTGAGAGAGAAAGTGCAGAAGGAAGCATCCATTGAACTCAGTGCTGCTCTGTGATGCTAGCTCAGACACTTGGCATCTCATCTTGGGTGCAGGTTCATCAATGTTTGGGCTCAGGCTCTGAGCGGAGGAGACCCTCAGGATGGAGTGAAGGGGTGCGTGCAATATACCGGCGGGCCAGATCTAATAGTAATTACAAATTATCCTGCGGGCCGAAATTAAATCCACCACGGGCCTGATTTGGCCCCCGGGCCTTGAGTGTGATTTAGACAGTCAAGCTTATGTTATTTATCATACTTTTGTTTTTTAAATATACATTTGTTGGGGGATGTTTGTTGGACAGTTTACATTAAAGAGCGAGACATGAAATGGGGAAGAGAGAGGGAAGTGGGTTGTGTGTAATTATTTAGCTACCAAAACTAGTTATTATAATGCTGTGAAGAAGCAGTAAATGGCGAAAATGTACCATTTAAAAGGTGGGGTAGGTAATTTTGGAGAAAGCAGCTCGAGTGCGCGAGAATTTGAAAATACACAACCGGAAAAAATCTGCCCCTTCCTCACAGAGCCCCTCCTCCAACACACACGAACGCTCACATGACCAATGAGGGCACGAGATGAGTTTGTGCCCAGATGGAAGGCTGACAGGCAGGTAGGCCATCCAGTTACTTTAGCCGGCTCAAATGATTGGTCGTGCTTTTTACAGCGCCACGGCTTCCACTGAGGAAATATTTTTTTAATGTATTTACTGTCAAAGCATTTCATGTATTCATTGCTATCGGGATGTTAAGATCATTCCATGGAATATAACAAAAAGTGTTTGTGAAGTGAATTACCTACCCTGCCTTTAAGTACATAAAGCGGGTGGTTTACATGTTTTTGTCATTAGGTATGAACACTGTGTGCTGAGAGGGTAAACACTATTCTTGGACTTCATTTTGAAGTTTCAGTTACTTTAAAAACGAAGTATAAAAGCAGACTTACTCTTTTTCCACTCAGCCTCTTCCCCTCATATGTGCCCCCCTGAGGCGTTTCCACAGATACCGGCTGGAGAGGGAGAAAAGGGTAAACAAGATCAACTAAACCACCAGTTCACCAAATCCACTGAAGGCACCACTGAGATATAGCACAAGCAACCTGAAGCAATTTCAACAGACAAGAAGCAAGAGTGCACTTTATTTCTATTCCAACAAGCATCTCAGTTAATAATCTAAACACACCCGACTCACCTTGAGAGGCAGGAAGGAGAGGGCGTGCTCTATCAGGAGCCTCATTAATCTCTTGGAGTAAAAGATAAACTCATCTCTGTTGGTCTCCTTGTTTCTGCACAAACACACAGAGGTCGGGAGCAAAGAGGCGGAAGGAGAGTTGTAAGAACAAGCAAAGAGTTTGATCCCTTTAAGACGTTTAGATCAGGATATCTGGAGCTCTGCCGCTGCTTATAGTCGTGTCAAATGATCATATAATCATTTAACACATAGTCTCATACTCTGATTGCCTTTTACACGGTTACATTGTATTTGTAGTCTTGTGTTTAACAGAGACATGTGTGAAGGATTTACATTTCTGGAGTAGCTCTGTTCCTGCATTTCAGATCGAGTTCACTTGTATATTACTTTCTTTATTACTTTATTAAAAATAACAAAAAGACAAACTTCGTCCATTAATCATTTTCTCTTAAGAATTTCCTAAACACTTGAATTTAACCATTCATTTAAATATCTATCTGTTTATGTGCAACACTAGATCGTTTAACTACGTTTTAAGCATGAAGAAAAGTCAAATGTGTTGTGATGAAAGTTCAGTTTGAAGCTGTTTTAGATCATAATAATAATAATAATAATAATACATGTCACTGTTATAGCGCTTTTCCTGGTGCTCAAAGACGCTTCACATAAAATCAGAAACAAAAAACAGAACTGTCGTGGATCCATGTAACACTCACAACGTTAACGAATAAGACAAAGGGGAATCAATAGAACACCGAGATGGTTGAAGTCAAATATGATATTGCTGTAGCACTATAACGGTACGTCCACACAGCAGCGTTAAAATAATCTTGGAGGTGGGCGTATCTGAAGCTTGGGGATTTTTTGCGACCAACAACCAATCACATGAATCTCCCGCCCCCGACATACAAAGCAATAGCAAAGTTAAAACGAAGTAAACTGGATATAAAATCCCCAAACAGGCGAAAACCTACCAGTTTCACCCACTGCCTCTGCCTCTTCCCTCCATCCCTCCATGCCTCCATGCCTGGTTCCTCCGGTTTGTATCCCGGTAAGTTATTAGGGACTGGTCATAAAGAACCGGGTGATTTGCTACCGCAATAACTCATTTCTCCTCCATTTTGTTAGGAATATAGAAATGAACTGCGGTATGTCTCTCCCAGCTTACACGCGGTTTGATTGGCTAGCGCTTGTACTGTCAGATTTGCATAAACGGGATTTGATTGGCTGACGCTTCCACCTCAGCTTCAAAAGTTGAACATTGCTCAACTTTTGAATCCTGAGATGCCTGGAAATCTCCGCTTTGCTTTCCACAATGCAGTTCGGTGAAAAGTGAGGCAAAGTGACGTCACCAAGCGTTGGAAGATTTTTGTAACGCTGCTGTGTGGACGGGCCGTAAGAGACACGTTACCTTGCACCAAAGCAGTCAATAGTGTAATTTCCATAGAGTCTAAGGGAATCTCAGAGCTTACCTCAAAGTGCATGCGTAGTTGACTTCTGACCTGACACAATATTGTATTGCATTTTCTGTCTTTAAATATTCCCAGTGTATGCAAACGGTTGGTCATAGAAATAGATCGGCCTCTTTCCTCGAAACTTAATGAGTAACCCCCCCCGGGTGTCACGGCTGCTGCTGCTGTCTGCTCGTTAACCTGTCTAGGATTGTTTTCAGCTGTGTATGTTATATGTATATGAGATGCGCCATTGCCCGGACGCCATTGGATGCCAGTTTCCTGTCCCTCCTCCGGTAGGCGTGACCGAAGATCTGGATTGGAGCAGGTCGGGCCCGACTCACCAATCCCTGCCCACACCTTCCGGGGACTCTTACAAGAGTGTGTGCATCTCAGTTAGACAGGAGAGGTCTGAATCTGTGTCAGACGTCTCTCGGTGCTCTCCTTATGTTCTGTGTAGCTCTGTGCTAGTTCTGATACAGTGGTTAGTTAGGGTGTGTGCTTAAGTGTGTTTTGTGTGTATTCTGTGATTTGTGACGGTGTCGAACTTGTGCGAGACGCCTCACTATTTTAGCCTTAAGTGTCCATAGTGCGCTATGACTGTGATAATCTGTGACCTTCGTTTTGTGTAGCGTTATTGTGAACAGATAGCTGGTTTTAAGAGCCTGTATTTTTGGTTATATCATCTTTATTTTGAGTTTATTATTAAAATCAACCTCTTACCAAGAACACCTGGTTTCGTGTTGCTTCCCTTTTACCCTAAGCGAGCTGGGGACGTAACACAAGCCATAATCGTAATTGCGATTAAAATACGATTAATTGAGCAGCCCTACTTGAAACCATAGACTGTATATATAAAACAGCTTCGACAGCACAAAGATATTTTTTAAAACGATTGAAGATGTTCCCTGCGTTCTGACCTGATGATGGTGTGCATGCCGCGGACCTGAGGCGTGCTCTCCATCACGCTGAGGGTTGTGGGTAACGGCTGACCCTGGTGAGCCGAGGCGAGCGCCGATCTGTGACAAAAATCAAATGGTGAGACTGACATACAGAAATTATCTGAAATGGTACAGGCATTATATTTAAGACTTCCCTGGCGCTAAAGACTTTCTTAAATCAAATATCCTCCTGGCTTTGTGTGTAAAAACAATCAAGCTTCAAAAATAACGTTTATCTATGCTCTCTTTAACGTAAAGAACATATCGACTTAAACCTTATTTTGAAGGCCAGTATTGATGTTAACTCTTTTGATCGCTGACGTTTCCAGTTGCAATTATTAGCTTTCAAAATTAGCATACTTAAATCTGACTTTCTTCTTGTGGTAAATCTAAAAACTATATTTTCCATGAAATGATTTAGGTAGTGACGACAGAACCCAGAGTATTAAAACGGGCTGATATCCTAATTGTACCATCACGAAAAACACAAGAAAATCACACTAATAGAGAATCTTGATTTCAATATTGATAACAAATGATTGTGGTTATCAGTTTGGCCATCAGCCCTAGCTTTAACGTCAAACAATGGAAAGATAAGATTGCATATTGAGCAGAAACTAGCTGAATTGTTTAATATATAATCTACTGCAAGTGTTTAAATGCCTACAGCCCACTACATACTATAAGGTAATACACACACATGCAGACAGATTGCAATACAAAGTAAATGGGGCTGGATTTCCAAACAAAACATTTGACTATGAATAAAGTTCATCCCCATCTTAAAGCAAGACTCAGTGGAGCAACTTATTCTCTAACATTGTTATATAAAGTTAATTGTATGGCTGGTTAACAGTGTGTGTGTGTGTGTGTGTGTGTGTGTGTGTGTGTGTGTGTCATCAACTTCCGCCAACAAAATGCAAAACAAGAAATGCAACTCCAAAAATAAGAAAATTGTCAAAACCACACATGCTTGCGATGTCGGCCCGTCCACACAGCGGCGTGCGTTGACGCTTCACCATTCACTTTGAATGGGGTGACGTCACTTTTCGCCGAACAGCATTGTGGGAAGCGACGCGGAGCTTTGCTGGCGTGGCTCGCTGCAAAAGTTGAGCAATGTTCAACTTTTGAAGCCTCGGCAGAAGCGTCAGCCAATCGAATCACATGCCAGTACAAGCTCTAGCCAATCAAACCGCTGCTTGTGTGTCAGGGGCGGGAGATTCATGTGATTGGTTGTTGGTCGAGTTTCAGACCCCCGCCGGCAAGCTTCAACGCACGCCGCTGTGTGGACGGGCCGTTAAAGAGCGATGAGGAAGCTGGAAAGTCAATTTCACATGCTCTATTCCTTCAGTAAAGCATGCTTCTGCAACTTTAGCGTGTCATGAACGGCTTCAAAAAAGCTTGTTGGCTTTTCTATGGTGCCGGTATTTGATCAGCTCAATATGCAAAGCTTATTTAAAACAAGTTGCAAAAAGCCAGAACGCATCAAATCGACTAAAGTGTGCTTTAAAAACCACATCACTACAGGAGGATGCACAAGGTGAGCCTCACATATCCCAGCGCAGCTTCCTCTGAAGAAGGAGACAGATATTTTCATTTGGTGACATTTAGAGATGAAGAAGCAGAAAGAAAAAAATACAATAAGAGAGACACATATAAAAGGAGAGAAGAAGAGAAAGCATTAGAGCAGAGAAACAGCTCCACTTCATCAGCGCTGTGAACACTTTACAGCTCAGGGCCGAGGAGACGAAATTCTATTTGTCCTAAAAGAGGGTTCATTTCAGACGACTCGAAGTATGCCCTTTCTTAGCAGGACGCTTTAGAGAGTGAGAATACACATCAGTCGGCGTTTACTGCCCAGGTGAGAACACTGCAAAGCACTTACTCCTTTACTCCTGCACACTTACCAAATGATCCGAGGGTTCGCCACCTTGTGTTTTTTAGTGCATCTTAAACGTATCATTTTTTAGAGAACTAGCAGCTTTGTTCAACATGTCCCATATTGCACCAGGAGAGAAGAGCATATGTTAGGGTTATCTTAGAATTATGTTCTGCTCAGAAAAGGCTGAATTACGCCGAGTTGATCTTTGTCATCTTGCTTTAATTCGTGTTCGACTGTGTCGTTTTAAAAAAGGCAAATGGTAACAATATACATTTTCTTGAATTGTAGACACATACGGTGTTAAACAGGTCTGTGTTGGCCTGGTTGATAGTGTGTTTAGACATTAGCCTGTGGAGCATGGGAACGGTAGATCCATCCAGCAGCATTAATGGATTATATATGAATGGACCGTAGCGTTTTGAAAGTGATGAAAGTCTTTGCAAATGTATAAGTATGTATCTTAAAGCTGCCACTAGATGTATTCAACCATAGCTTTCTTTGCTCTATGTCAACTCTGAGGGAATTGTCTCGCTCTCTAGCTTTTAAGACTTTTTTTAAGTCACTTGAAATTAAATTTGAGACCTGTTTTACATGCAACTTGCATTAAGCGTGACAGCAATGGGAGAGGCTTTTGGTAAATAATTTTTTTAAAGCGTTCTGTAGGAGCTTTATTCATTTGTGATGTTTACTTTGGGTGCCGTTTGGTGCAGAGCAGGTGGTGTACTGGAGGTTTATAAGCAGGGGTGCACATAACTGCAAGTACGCGGCAACAATCTGAAATACGTACCGTCACTTGTGTCACAAAGCGCATTTGCGTACCAACGTACTTGTGAAGCTTTTCCAGAAGGCAGTTAGATCACCGGACGACAGAGTCGGTCTCCGTGTGCACAGACAGGGCTGCTGTTAACGTCGGTCTGTACAACGGAATTGTGCCGAAACTACGCCAACCGGCTGCGGAGGGAGACTCCCCCCCTTCACTGGAGAACTGCGCTAAAACAGCTGATCACAATGTTCACGCTCTGTGGTCACGAAGTACTGCACTAGCCGTCCCCCGTCAACTTTCCTGAAGTACTCCCCTAGAACCCCTCGCGATTTGAAATGATGCGATTATCAAAGCCTGCGATTTTTTTCTACATTATTATTTATTTATACACTTTTTTTTTCTTTTTTCTTGTGTGTCAGTCATCCACACCAATCAGAAGTGCTGTGCTCCACATGTACCAGCCATTGTTAACCAATCAGAAGTGGCCCATGATAGAAGGTGATAGATAGATTGATCCAATCACCTGCCCTTTCCAAATGGCTTCCAATTGAGCTTTAGATGGTTTGGTGAACCATCTGAGTCAGGTTAGTAATGCTCCATCACATGTTTCTATTACAGGGAGAATCTGAAACTGAAGCTTGACTTTAAAGCAACCCAACGGAAGTTTCATGTAAGTTTAGTTCTTTCACTCGTAGCTCGGGCTGCGGGGGCGCTAGAGACGGGAGCACGTTGATGCGACCTTCCTAGCCGGAGTTATGGCCGCATTTTACAATAAACTTCCGTTGGGTAGCTTAAAAACAAATATCGCAAATCGAATCGCAATATCTGTCAGAAAAATCGCAATTCGATTTCTTCCCATAATCGTGCAGCCCTATGAAGGAGGTTACATTTTTTGCCGAAAGTCGAGACGAAGTGTTTTCACACATGCCAAACCATTGAATGCATCAATCACAGAGATAGAGATGCAACACAGGAGAGAAAGGATTCATTTGCAGTGTGGCTGAAAATGGAGTGAAAAAAAGAAAGGGAATTAAGAGCAGGTAAAGGGTTGAGTCATTAAATATAAAAATCACAGTCATACCTCACAGTGATCTCACGCTGCAATGGTTACACAGCATTCAGCCAGGCAAGGGGAGTCGTGTGTGACAAGAAAAAAAAACATGACAACGTCAAACCCACAAGAAACGCCAAACATTTAAAGTGAAAATAAATGTTTGTTTGTTAGAATGTAGTATTAACAACATTGGTGCTTGAAATAAATGATGAGTCAAAATGTTGTTAATTATTTATGGTTTTACGCAGAATTAATGAAACATCCATGCTATCAGCCTCTAAATGCTAACATGCTCCAATGGTGATGCTAACATGCTAATGTTTAGCACATATGTTGACCAGGTGAATTTAGCAAGTTAGCAACAAGTCTCACAACAAAGACACACAAAATGGTTGAAGCTCATGTATTCAATGTATTTAGTTTTGCATGATATTTATGTAAAATCAGTCACTCAGTATTTGTCTTCATGTTTAGTCGGTTTTAAATATAGTACAGATAAGAGTTCACACAAGGGTTTTAATACTCTTATCTGTACTATCCTAACTCTTATAGCACTGATATCATACCTGAATGTCCCTACATGGATTAATACATATTTAACTTATCTTAAAGGTAGGGTAGGTAAGAATGGAGAAACCAGCTCGAGTGCGCTTGAATTTGAAAATACACAACCGAAGAAAATCTGCCTCTTCCTTCAGACTTCCTCACAGAGCCCCTCCTCCAACACACAGATGACCAATGAGGGCACGAGATGAGTTTGTGTACAGATGGAAGGTTGACAGGCAGGTAGGCCATCCAGTTACTTTAGCCGGGCCGGCTAAAATGATTGGTCATGCTTTTTACAGCACCACGGCTTCCAGAGATGACATGTTTTAAAGTATTTATTGTCAAAGCATTTAATATATTCATTGCTATCGGGATGTTAAAAGCATTCCATGGAATATAACAACAAGTGTTTCTGAAATAGATTACATACCCCACTTTTAATACGGTCAAAATCCCCTAAAAATGGTATAAAATGTTTGATGTGTGCATATATCGCTATATTTCACTGGATAAATACCAACATTGATCTGCTGTTGATACTGCAGTAAAATCATTACTTTGTGGATCAAGGCGGTAAAGTACTGTTATAGCACTTATATCATACCGGAATATCCCTACATGGATTAATACATATTTAACTTCTCTTAATTTGGTTAAAATCCCCTAAAAATCGTGTAAAAGTTAACATTTTCGACCCGATTGTGTGCATTTTTCTGCCAATCCCTGCAGTTGAGTAGACATCGCTATATTTCACTGGATAAATACCAACATTGATCTGCTGCTGTTGACACTGCAGTAAAATCCTCACTTTGTGGATCATGGCAGTAAATCCTAAGAAGGACAGCGTCATGCTAACTTCCTCCACGCTGCACACTGAGGTTTTGTGAAGTGTGAAAGATGTTCTGTGTGTTCGTCCAGTGAACATGTGGAAGCTGGAACAGATCATAGTTTGAAGCAGGTCATAAAGCCGGCTGACGGGACAGTGAGGTGAGGAAGATGGAGGACACCTCTCCGGCTTTATGTGCTCATTAATCTCTGAGTATCCGGAGCTCAGTGTGTTCACTGAGGTGTAGACGGACCAGGGACAGCTTCTCCTTAATGACGCAGATATTTAGGCTTTTGCTTTTAGTGTGACTTCGTCATTTGAAGGATAACTATAGCTTACTGGGATTGATTTACTTCTGAGTTATGAGCCTAATTGGCCGGGCAATTAAGCAGATAGTTAAAGCTAAAGGAAATGCTGACAGTGAGTCATTTAGCACGGTCAACCAGCAGAGGGAGGAAGTGGTCAAATACAAAATATAGACTACAGACTAGTAGGGACTGACCAGAGGCTGCAGAAAAACGAAAGACAATACCTTTCGTTGACAAAAACTAGCTTTGTTATCCTCGTTGATTGATGATGCTCTCTCCTCCAGCTGTACAGTAACTAGCAGTGGGGATAAGATCTTCAAAAAGCATCTGAAACTGTCATTTCTTTAGGTACTCCAGTGACATTATTAACTCAACACAATACCCTATATCAATGCCAGTCAGAGGCTAAAATAAAAAACATATTTTCTTACATTTAACTTCTGGAAACTACTCATCATTTATGAGGATGATTCATGTTTTTACGTATCCGACTTTCTCCATTGAGGCGGTTTTGTATTGTCACAAATATTGCAAAATTAACTAACGCTTTTCTTGGATTTAGTGGGTTTATGATCACATTTAGAGATTTGTCCTACGTCTACTGGTAGGATGTGAGCAAGACATACAACTGCATCATGTATTTGCCATTATTATGAACTCAAAACAGTAAAAATAGATTTTCTGATGTATTTTATAGCCTTGTATTGGGTGTTCGTATTACATATTACTATGACCAGTTTGTAAGGGCAGCACAGTCAAATCATCAGACCCTGAAAGCACCACAAGCCAATCATCTCACGCCTCAATGTATTTTCCTAACAGCCAGTGATCTGATCTTAGCCAGGACAGCAGGCATTTTACACTTTATATCAGGGGTGTCAAACTCAAGGCCCGGGGGCCAAATCCGGCCCGCCACTTCATTTTATGTGGCCCCACAAGAGCTTGCAAAGAATATAATAAGTTTATTATAATGTTACGTGCCGCTTTACAGGAGAACGTTGCCCATAAACTACATGTCCCACAATGCATCTCATTTTGTGACATGCGCAATGAAGAGACTTGCAATGATTGGCCCTAGACTTCCGCTTTCAGACAGTTAATTATTAAGTTATTACCCTATCCGATAATAATCCAATGCAGAGGAAATATTGTAAACTTTTTTATATTTATTATCTATGTATATTTATATAGTCTTAAAGTTACCACCGGCCCTTTGAGTGCAACCATAATTCTAATGTGGCCCGCGATGAAATTGAGTTTGACCCCCCTGCTTTATATTGATCATTAAACGTCATACTTTTAGAGGAAAAAGCAGCCGATCAAGCTTTAAGTTGTCATGATGCTAACAGCTATCATTACAAAGGCAAATGTAGCAGCCAATCGTGTGGCAGCATTGTTCATTTGATCATTCCCTTTGTCTTCCCTCATAGCAAGTAAACCTCTCCAAGTGAACAAAGGCTGACAATCTATAGGGGAGGAAATAACGAGAGAAACCAAGTGTTCCGCTGAATCAGGGAAATCCTTTCCACGGCCCAACAAACAAACAAAAGAGAGAAACGAGTTTTACCTTCTCCAGCTGACTGTGAACGTGCTGAACAATCAGATCCAGAGCTACAAAGTTTTCCCCGCCTGTGAATAAGTTTAAGACACAAAGGAGAAGAATTTACAAGAAAGCTAGGTTGTAAAGTTTGTAGCAGAAGACTAAATAAATCAAAATGAATGTCCACGGACCTCTGGGCACCACGATGTCCGCAGACTGCACCGTGGGCTCGATGTATTGCTCGAACGCCGGCTTTACGAACTTGTTGTATTGTTTGATGATGCCGCTGATGTCCCGCCCACGCAGTGAAATGTCCCTCTTCAGCCTCCGTATCAGGCGGATGTCAGAGTCTGTGTCCACAAACACCTTCATGTCCAGCAGCTGGCACAAAGGGAACAAAGACAGTTACGGTAACATGCGATTTGTTGTCGTTTAGTTGCATTTCTATACATCCTAAAAAACAGTTATTTATTTCCTCCTCGAATTCAAATATAACAGTAACACAAACAAATATGGATTAATGCTTAATGTGTACATTACTTTAGATTGGAACATTTAAGTTTCCCCTTGGTTTGTCAATCAGAGGTCGGTTGTCGCTTGACACACCACAAAAGGTCTCAAATGAAATATTTCACACATGATACTTCCAACACAATCAGGCAAACATCATATAAAAAGGCATTTGCAACAGTGTCTACAATGGCATCATAAACCAAGCTCAATATAGGTTCAGTTCTCTGTAAGAAAACAAAAGCACTTTCTTTTCTTTTGGTGGTTCCCAACCTTTTTTCCCAAGAGCCCCCCCAAATGACTCCTGTTGGAAGTTGCGCAACAGCGGTAATTAAAGTTTCAAAGTCTCAAAATGCAACAACTACCGTCACAAACTGGATGAATGTGAAGTATTTTGTTAAACTGTTTAAAACACATGCTCAAAGTAAGCCGGACTTTGCCGATGTGTTTATGTGGATTCAAAAGTCGTAAATAATCTACAAAATGGAGGAGAGCGATCTGATCGGAGCAACTGTGACAAATAATCCAACTGAAACCGGCATGGACAATGACTGTGTTTTAAAAATGCACTTATCCAGAAAAGCCCGGTTTGGAAACTTTACGAGCAGAAGAAACATTTCTATAGAAAGAATTATACATTTCTGTCTTTCTATGCCTTTAATACTAACTTCAATTTTTATTAAAAATTAATTAATCAATTATTTTTATTGTAATGTAGAGACAAGGCTTTTAGTGACAATCATGTATTGCGTTACAATTATATGTAAAAAAACAAAATGGCGCGCCCCCCAGGTCGGGAACCACTGGTCTAATGGATAGTGAGGTGGGCTGATGATCGGAAGGTTGTGAGTTCAAATCCCGCCTGGAACGCCACCACTAGTGTGCCCTTGAGTAAGGCACTTAGCCCTCAGTTACTCCAGGGAGAATGTCCCTGTAATCGGTCATTGTAAGTCGCTTTGGAATAAGGCGTCTGCTAAATGCCTAAATTGTAAATTATATTTGTGGGAGAATAAACCCCACAGATCCTCAACTCCGGTGTCTCACTCACTAACAACGCAGAGCAACAAGAACGTCGTCTACAGTAGCCATGAACTCGCATGTATTTTCTTATTCGAGGGGGGTTGGATGCGTGGGCCACCCGAATAGGTTAAGGGGCCTTTTGCTTTTCTTGCCGGGGGGGGACTGAGCACCATAAACAATATTTGCTAATATGTAGACTACTAGTGACTAGTACAATTTCCCACAATGCAAGAAGATATTTTAAAATGTCTTGCCAACCAACTGTCAAAAAATGTCCACTCAAAATAATTGTTGCCGATAGATTTCTGGATATTTTGACGAGGTGCTTTAGCTCTGAACCCTAGAATACTAAATATGTGAGGAACAAATGGCTGACAGACTGTGCAGGCTTCATCTTGAGTATTGTCAAAAAAAGACATGCTCTGCTGCACACTGATGGAAACAAGTGGAAAAAAACACTTTTGAGTCGCCTCCAAGATTTGACATGTTTACAGCTGAGATGTAGCGTCGGGGTCAGGACATGTCGAGGAAGTCAACATCGTAAAAACAGAGGAGACATTCGTTATCACTGCCACTTCAAACTGAACCTCGAAACAAATCAATGAAGCGACGTTACACCGGGAGAGGAACAAACAAAAAAGAGGCAACATCATCGCTCAACGAAAGAACTGTAGACGACTCCTGGGAGGAAGGAAGTGTGTAACTCAACAAGCGACATGTTGCTGGGTAAGCATGACTGTCAGGGGGAAATGATCACAAAGGATAGAGATCAAGACCTTGATAGTAGGTAACCTGCTCCACAAGGAAACACTCAGCTACTTTTTTGCTATAACATGTAGGTTTTAGTGCATGTAAATGGCCGGCAAAGGCTACAATTCATAGATCCAGATGGAGCTTCTCCCCCACACACACACCTGCAATGGCCTGATAACAACAGATGATATTAAAAGCCAAACCATTAATAGTGTTGTAAATCTGTATGGATATATCTTGTATCACACAATCACAGCAGAGTGTGTGTGTGTGTGTGTGTGTGTGTGGCTTCTCACCGCACACCTCATTAGCATATCAGATTTGTAGACTATAATTGCCTTCAGTTACAAGAGTGGACACAAAAGAGGATAAATCACAGCAGACAGAGGCTGTTATTAACTGAGTCAGAGAGTCTCAGGGGAACACACACACACACACACACACACACACACACACACACACACACACACACACACACACACACACACACACACACACACACACACACACACACACACACACACACACACACACACACACACACACACACACACACACACACACACACACCACACACACACACACACACACACCACTTCAGGGGACATTACATTGACTTACATGCATTTCCTGGAGACGTATCCTAACCTTAACCAACACCTGCCTAACCCTAACCAAGTCTTCACCCTAAAATTAATGATTCCCCTCATGGGGACCTCCATTTTGTCCCCATAAGGGAAGCGAGTCCCCACACGTGACTGTGTAAACAGATTTAGCTCCCCACAAGTATAGTAATGCTAGGCCACACACACACACACACACACACACACACACACACACACACACACACACACACACACACACACACACACACACACACACTTTGTATGTCCAATAATGTTAAATAGAAAGAAAACAGAAAACATTTTATTTATTTTTTATATTTTTCCCAATATGCAATTACCTATAAATTGAAATTGCACATTTAATACTAAGAGCAACTCCAAGAATTAAAAAGGTATTTCATTCTACAACAACATCAAATGAAAATAAAGGGATGAAGATAATCAAATAAAGTGTCAGCCTATTTAGAAATGCCCAAAGAGCTGATTTAATGTCCCTGCTCAGAGTCAGAGGACTCCGTTCACTATTAATCAGCCTGCTCCTCTCCGAGCGGACAGATCCATTACTCAGGTCTGGCTCAGGGAAAAGAGTACGGAGGAAAAACAAGAACATCTCTAAAAATGTTTTGATAGCATCTGAATTATCAAACATGTGTCCTGCTTTCTGGTATTTCATGAGATATTACAGTTAGTGCTTTATTCACTGCCTACTGCGTGTTGTTTTAAAAAAAAGGGTGCTTCATGTGGGATCTTTTAGGCGACAATTAAAAAACAATATGGCAAACTTCACGGTAATAAATGAAACTGTATTCTTACCTTCAGCAGCTCCTTGTTGGCAAACGCCAGGATTCCCTCAAAGATGACGACATTGGCCCCGTACACCGTTTTCTGTTAAAAAGAACAAAATAAATCAACATTTATTAAACTCTAGCTCAGCGGTTCCCAACGTTTTTCAACTCAGGGCCCGCTTAAGAATCAAAAAGTTTTTCGTGGCCCACATTCAACCATAAACAATACGGAGGGTAAATAAAGTTCTGATTGGTCGATTCAGAACATGTGACACGTTGTTAATCCAGAAGAACAGACCGCTGTCAAGGACTGTAATGACCGTTGCTAAGGACTGTAATGACCGTTGCTAAGGACTGTAATGACCGTTGCTAAGGGGGATCAAGAAGGATAAAGGAAATGTTAGATGGGAATGTTATCTCCTATATGTTATTGTTATGTCCATGTTTGTGTCTTTAGCCCGGCGGCCCACTTGCAATGCCTTCGCGGACCACTAGGGGGCCGCGGCCCACAGGTTGGGAACCGCTGCTCTAGGCAAGGCAAGGCAAGGCAATTTATTTGTATTGCACAATTCATACAGTAATGCAATTCAAAGAGCTTTACAGGATCAAACAGAGCAAACACGATACATTGAGAAGAAATACAAAACACACAAAATAATTAATTAACAGAAAGAAAACTATGTTTAACAGTTCGAAAATTAGAACATTTAAATTTGAAAAGCCATATTAAAAAGAAATGTTTTTAGACCTGATATAAATGATTCTAAAGTGCTAGACATTCTCAGATGTTCTGGGAGTTTGTTCCGCATTAGGAGCATAGATGCAGAAGGCTGCTTCCCCACGCTTTGATGTGAGCTGGCCTGAAGACCTAAGGGGTCTGCTGGGTTCGTACCACTGAAGGAGGTCCTTGATATATTTGGGTCCTAGCCCGTTTAGTGCTTTATATTAGGGTTGCCAGAAACTGACCATGATCAAAATCAATTATTCGGCAGCCCTGGCGAATAATAATCGATTATTCGACTGACCGACCGACCAACCGACCGACCGACCGACCGACCCCCCCCCCCCCCCTTGAGGTTGAGCTGTGATAGACCAACGTCTTTTCGCAGAGCTTGCATTTAACTTCCTTTGGACTTGGAAGTTCGAAGTAGTTCCACGAGGAGGAAATCTTTTTATCTGCCGCTTTGTTCATCTTTAGTCGCACGTGTGAGGGAGAGGGGGGGTGGGGGTGGGGGCGGTGTGTAGCGTGCTGCAGCAGCAGTCTGCTCTGCACGCAGGCTTCCTCCAAGTTTACAGTAAAACAAACTGGTGGTGTGACCAATGGCCATTTACAATTATTAATACTATACTATTATTAGCATTAGTCTATATTTTGGTTGAAACTAAACCAGAAAAAAGAAAAAAAATACATAAATAATAATAAAAATATATATAAATAAAATCGATTTTTCAAAATAATATTCGATTATGGAGACTGTAACGAATATTCGAATAATCACTGGCATCCCTACTTTATATGTGCGCATTCAAATCTTAAAATCAATTCTCTCACCAACTGGAAGCCAATGCAGCGATCTCAGCACGGGAGTGATGTGATCTGTTTTCTTGGTTAAGATTCTGGCAGCAGCATTTTGAATTAGTTGGAGTTTACGGAGTGATTTTTTTGTGAGGCCTGTGAAGATGCTGTTGACAAAATAATCCCATGGCCTTTAGTCGAGTTAGTTTAAGGTGTTTTTGATGCGGTGTGATTTGTTTTATGCTTAGGTATGCGACTGTATTCTTATGTTATTGTTGTTTATGCTACCTTTGCTCTTTTGTTAGTGCCTATTATTTTAACATTTAAAGTTGATGTGCATTGAAATGTGCTCTATAAATAAATTGCCAGTGGTCGCAACAATCATCCCTCCTGTGCATTGCAGGCGTGAAAAGGTTGCTTTCTAATTTCAGTTTATTATAAAATAACTACGGTCCAGCGCCGACGCCAAATTGCCTTTTCTCAAAAAGCTAATAGAAAACTTGCAGACTTATCAAGTGTTTATCTTCCAAGGATATAGGTGTGAAAGTCCATTTTAAAATAAAGTCTATCGCACCATGTAACACACCCACTAAGGGGCAATAAATGGTACAAAATCCAGCCCAAAATGGTCTTAATATGCAATATAATCCCAACAATAAAATGCAAATTGCAAAAAAATTATTAGGAAGAAAGCTTTCCCCAAAACCCTGGGCTGTGTTGTTTGTACGTTATGGTTGGTTTGTTCTCTGTTAGCAAAAAAAACCACAAAGAGATGTTTTAATTCATACTTTTTCTGGCTGTAAAACTTGAGAAAAACACACTGAATTTAGTATTTAATTCAAGATGACAAAGAAGACACTATTTAATATCTTTGTTGGGAAGGAAAGGTGAATTATAACTAATTAAATTAGGATTGCTCAAATAATAAGTGTAGCTCTTGTACAGGAAATGAAATGCAAACAGAGATCAGCTGAACTACAGAGACACACAACCTCATCGTCAATCTGCTTTATTACTGAGGAGAACAAGAGTGTGTGTGTGTGTGTGTGTGTGTGTGTGTGTGTGTGTGTGTGTGTGTGACAGAGGGATTAATCACTGTCTCAATCAAAGGCAAAATGGTGCAGAGTATGTCACAATCCTATTACCTTCCTCTGCCCGGCTTCATGCTAAAGTCAATGGGCCGGACACTTCCGTATTGATTGTGTTGGAAAGAGAGGGGGGGGTTGAGGTCGTGTGAGAAAAGCATAAAGTAAATTCTAGAGAAACAGATAAGTGTTTATGGATTTGTTCATTTCCCTGTTGTTAGCTAAGAGATGATTTAGAGCAGTGGTTCTCAACTGGTCAGACCCACTTTTTCCTTTGTCAATAAATCGCCACACGAAATTTGAATGACTCAAATCTATTCAACAAAACATCGTGCTGTAATATATACGCTTTTCAGCATACATTATTAATTAAAGTGAAGTACAGTGCATATATCCCTTATATCCCTTCACAGAACTAAAGTATGCTTTTAAAAAAGGTTTAATGAGATGATTGAATCAAAGCTGAACTGTATAACATAAAAAGGCACAAAAAGAGATTTTTAGAAATACTAACAAACTACCCATTCTGGTACTCTGAGAAGAAAATAAATAAATCTATTACTACCCGACATATTAATAATATTTTATGCCATTGTTTGTTTTTCACTTTGTTCTGAAGCTTGCTGTGAGAAGAGCAAAGAGGAGAGAGTCTGTGTGACTTACTTTGTGGGTAAGGGTAGACAGCCCCCATTGTTCTGTGACCTGTCAGTCATCAAACCGGGGGTCATATTTCATTCATTTCTATCTGAAGTTGTACCCATGGATGTATAAAGAAGAGTTCTACCGCAAAGTTATTCTCCGTGGAGACTTCCGGCAACAATCTTGATTCTGATTGGCCAGAAGACTCGAAAAAACATCAGCAAAGATGTTTTATTGAGAAGATGATCACTACGTGACAGAAGTTTTCAAAACCATTTATGGTCTCCGATACTTCCAGTCCAACGCCGACTGCATGCACAGCGTTAGAACATCGGGCCTTCAAAATAAAAGTTTGACTTTTTTCCACAAAAAAAAAAAAAAAGATATTATTTTTAACTTTTGTTTTTCTCCACTCACACATCTACGACCCACCAGTTGAGAGGGTCTTTAATATGTTTAAGAGAAGACAAGACCCCACACACACAGACCCCCAGCCACACCCCCCCCCCCCCCCCCTCTGGGACTGAGGCTTAATTAAATCCACTTCAGTACAAAAGGTACACACAATGATTTCAGGGGTCGTGAGAGGAGAATTCCCGTGTGGTGGTGTCGTGCCTTTCAGCCATGAAATTACATTTACACAGCAATAGAGAGGAGTGGTCACAGAGTGATTCCTCACAAAGCTTCAGGGGGAGGGGGAGGGGGGGGATGGGGGTTGTGTGAATGTCCTGGACACTAAATCCTTCATAATTAGCTCATTAGCAAGGATCCCGATTGGCAACAGATCAAACCACTAATTCACCCCCAGTGGTTTGTTAGTGCGATGGTAATTATATCGGTAACACTTTATATTTAAAAAAGGTACACTTAATCACCATCAACAAGTTGTTCATTTACATATTAGAGACAAACTACTAGCTTATTGGTTATGAACAAGACTTCACTTTAAAATAGGGAACATATTCTTAGAAATACCTCATTTTGAGTTATTTTGACACAATTAACCCTTATAGTTTCATGTCTTCATCAGAATAGACCATATGTGTTAGTGTTATGAGAGAATGCCTTATTGAGCATATTAAGACCCAAACTCATGTACAACAAATGAAGCTTAGCGCAAGTTCAGACAGGAAGACCTATCACTCCGTATTGCACGTCATGGCAATACTCGCTCCCTGCACTAAATGACAGGGAGCGCCACTCCTCAGCTAACCTATCACTCCCCTCCATTTACAAGCCTAATTATCGCACCTGTTAATCCCTCTATATATGCTCTCCCCTTTCCTATCAGCTGTCTTCCAGGTGTCAACGCGCAACCCTCCTCCACCCCTTCGCCTCCTGCTTTCAACTCAGGGCCAAGCTTAACCTTCTCCCTTCCAACCGGACCTAACCACTTATCACCAACTGAAAATGGGAGTTTGCAGTTCTTTAACTACGATGAAAGTATCAGTAACATTTCATCACACCAGATCAAACAGAAAGAAGTTCAAATGCCTTATAAAGTCTTTGTTCCTGTAAGTATAGTCAGATTAGTTGTGATGTCGAAACCATATTTACCATCATCTGGGAAATATCCTTTTTGTCTCCAAATGTAAAGATTATTTTTAAACTAAACCAAAAGCAACACATCTAAAATGGAGCCCTAAAGTAAAAAGCAGGGTTCCTGCAGGTTTCACCAACTCAAATGTAAGACTTTTTAAAACCACTTTGAATAGAATTTAAGACCTATTTCACAGCAAGAAAGTATGAAGGAAAATTGCTATGAAAGAAGAAATACGTCCCATAATTACTTACAAAGTAAATGTATTCACGTTCAACATAAGAACAATGACTGAATATAACAGTACACAGAACTGTGTTAGCGTGTTAGACAAAAAGTGTGTGTGTGTGTGTGTGTGTGTGTGTGTGTGTGTGTGTGTGTCAAGAGCTATATTCAGTGCTCTGCTGCCTTCGAACCAAGCACTACATTCGATGTTTTCCAACCAAATACGGTTGAACTTACACTTCCCCATATTTGTTTGTAAGTAGATTCGAAGATACATGAGTTTCTGACTGCCGCTAGCTGAAGCTTGGCTGGTTGCTAGGTTACTAGCTGGGTGTTCTCCGATAAGGGGCAGGGGGAAACAAAGTTAGTGATTACTGGTTCCATGTTGATTTATTTGAATACAAATTGTTGGGGGGAACTGAAGGGCTCTTACTTTGCAGCCCGGACATTTCCCCCAAAACACATTTAGACGCTATCGCTACACAGAAGTACCTTTCAAATCCCATCATTTTTAAGACCTTCTAAATCATTTTTAAGACTTTTTAAGACCCCGCGGGAACCCTGAAAAAAGCAAGTTTCCTACCCATTCTTTGCGCCTGCCGTGAGACGTGAAGTCGTACACGGGCACTTTGATGCTCTTTCCTTTCTTCAGCTTCCTCAGGACGGTGACCAGCAGCTCGAAGTCGAACGCGTCGGGGTGATCGAAGTTATACTCATTCTTAGCCGCGAGCTCCTGCTCTTCTTTGTTCAACACCTGACACACAAACAAAAAAACAAGTTAAGCATGCAATGTTCGGGACGAAAGATATGAACCTTTTTATTTTATTGTATATATAGTATAAGGTTGCTGTGAATGGGCTGCAATTAAAATGGCATTAATGGCACTTTAGATAATAAAACCACAGCATCTCATGGAGGATTTTACATTTTGTAAGCAAATGCTGATGTTTAGATACTATTTTCTTAGTGTAAGAACATTAAAACTTGAATTATTTTCTCCCAGGATACATTTCATTTAAAAAACATTCCCAAATATTAAAGGTTCAGTTAAATATCAGAACATCCAGGTCATACTGTCTAAAGTCTGCCTTTCTGAGCTTAGACAATACAACGTTTTTTTAAATGTACCCGTGTATTATATCTAGCACTTTCCCGTTTTGTAATAACATTATTAAAAAGTGTTCGTTGGGAAATCAAAGCAGTCGTATTTTGTGATGGTTTAAGACATTTTACATTTCCAGAATGGGCTAAAAAAATGTTGCTAAATGTCATCTCCACTCTCTCTCCATCTGTATCTGTCCCATTGTTCTTTACCCGTGTCTTCGTTGCATCAATTCAATAAAAGTATCTTCAAAAGAAAGAAATGTGTATCTGCTCATCTGGTAAATTAAATTCAATGAAGGCGTAATGGACCAGAACACAGGGTACTTCCTTCTGAATGAAGCGCAGCAACTCCACCTGCTTTAACTCAATATATATCTTTATGGTATTGCATTTTAAAACATATACACAATGCATTTTCCCATCTTTAATAGAACGCAACAGTTCTCTATTGTTTGTAATTAAAAGGACATTGCATCATCATTGACAAACAGTAATTCTCCTCTATTAAGCTAAAGGTTTTCCCACTTATTCTACTCACTAGAGTTTAATTGATTACAACAACAAGGTCTAATATATATATATATATATATATAGAGACATGCAGACATAATGGGCTCTGTTCTCAGAGGAAACGGGCGGGGGGGGTGTAATTGATATAAATTGATATTTATATTGGGTTCAATCAGTTATCGGTCATTTACTTATTACGCTGAAATCATCACTAAGGACCAGTGTTGGAACTGACGCGTTACAAACTAACTCATTACTGTAACGCAACTACCGTTTGCGGTAACTAATAACGTTACTAGTTACCTATTGAGTAACGCCGTTACAGTTACTGTGATTTAAATGGGTGCGTTACATTATGTGATCCAACTGAACCGAATCTCCCTGCGGATGTAGCTTACAGGCGAATACAGCGATGTCCTCTCACAGAGGAAAAGTGAAAGTGACCAGAGAGGAGTGACGATTGGTTAATGCGGGGTAACATTTCAGGGTAAGCCAATCAGAGACAGAGTTGGGCGGCTCTTGCCTTATGGGGAAAATACACAGACACACAAACACTTGCTAACACACACACGGCAACGTCCACCACCAGCACACACACACACTATGGCAGATGCAAGTATCAGCGAGAGCAGCAGCGCATTTACAACTTGGAGATATAACCACTATTTTCAATTTGTGGGGATAAAGGACGCACAAAATATTACGGTCAAATGTAAACTGTGTGCCGGACGGAAAGCATTGTCCACATCGAATAGCAGCAATGCCAATCTCCTGAAGCACCTAACTAATGTACATGTGGGGAGTTACTGTGCCACAGAACAACACAAACTTGTATTGTTATTATTTTTAAAGTAAAGTAACTAGTTACTTTTATAATTTAGTAACTAGTTACTTTTTTGAGAGCAGTAACTATAACTATTACTAGTTACTTTTAAAAAGTAACTTGCCCAACACTGCTAAGGACCAACGACGGAGGAAAGAGTTTGATTTTTCATTTGTTATTATTGAATGTTTCCTGACAGGCTGTTGTTTTCAAATCAAAGCTGGTTAGTTGTTGTGTAAACTTCAAAATGCTGAGCAAGTTATCGAACTGTATTGATTCTATAATTGAATGTTAAAACACTTTTAATCAAAGCTCTTATTTCTGCTTTTAATCACAGTAATCATGTTCACAGGGACCGAAGAGGTTCATTGGCATATCTACACTGCAGCTTTGCACACATGACAACAGGGCGGTGCAGGGATGACATTTACCCTAAGCTGCGCATGGGTTCCCTCGACAGAAAAGCAACGGGATTTCTTCATAGGATTCTGGAAACTAGCTGGAAATAAGGTCTGTGGAAAACGAACCTGTCTGATAAATGCACGTTTTGTTCAGCCGGATAATCTCCACATGTCTACCCTACTTTTATAATGTTCAAATCATAAATCTAATCGCCAGAAGCTAAATGCTAACGTTAGGCTATAAACGAATAACAGCCGAGTCCAGCAGCACGACTTCAACGTCACGCCAACTTCAGATCCATATTCAAACACACAGATTCTAAATGGAACGAGTTGAAGCGTTTGTTTGCACACTCTGCAGGAGGCAGGGACTTGCTTTCAAGCAGAACAGAAACTAACTTAGAGGAGTGTTTACGTGTTCGGCGTAATGACGCACAACGGCCTCGACAACTTCTGTAGTCCTATTCAGCCACTTGGTAACAACCATCGTTTTTCAGACTCGTCAACTCTTCAGAAATCACGGGGTCACTGCTGATGGATTTAATGTCGTAGAACAAAACGTGATCCGTCTCTTCAATGTGTCTCAACCACAGACCTTAGTTCCAGATATTTTCCAAAACCTTATGGAGAAATCCCATTGGCTCTGAGACGAGGGAACAGGAAGTGGTAAAATGCGAGTCGGGGTTTTAGGACTCGTCACTGCGGCACTCTATAAAAGCCTTGAATCGTCTATACCTTGTAGAAAGAGTCCATGGAGAGCAGAACCACCCAGGGGACGTCCAGCGCTTCGATGATCTTATTGGCTACCGTGGTTTTACCCGAAGCACTTCCTCCACACAGGCCTGCAAAAGAAAAACACAAAGAACCACAACACTGGGTCAGAGTTTCATATATTTAAGAATGGAAACCACATTTGATCATACTATAGGAGCAAAAGGCTTGTCCAAATCTCCTATTTAAAACAAAAGCACAAATAGCTCACCCTTTAAAGCAGTAATTCAGGAGGAAAGAAAACACTTTGTTCAAGATTCTCAATTGTGAGGATTACCGTTTTTTAATCTTTAACAGAATATGCTTGAGCTTGGACAGTTTGACAAATACGTAATCACGTAGGCTTTAACAAATGATGATGGGCAGATTCATTTATTTTAATCTAGTTATTGACAAATCCTAAAAGCACTAGGCAATGCAAGTTAATACAGTATGTTTGGCACCTTTTAACAACAACAAGGCAATTCAAAGTACTTTACGTAAGATAAGCAATAACAAAAGAAGCAGAAGGTATATTAAAAATAGTTAAATAGGATTTTGAATAAGAGTAAAATAACAGTAAGAAAAAATGGCAGGGTGAATCTTCCTTGTGCTGGAGTAAGAACGTGAACAAATAAACTGCTGGCACCAGAACCACCAATGTAAGAAGTTGAGTCTGGAGCCGGTTTCACCTCAGCTGACCTCCTGGGTTAAAGACCACATTCATCCATCCTTCAGAACAACGATCCTGGGAACCCGGCCAGAGAAAAACTGGATCCATTTCCTGCCAACGTGATGTGTGTGTGTGTGTGTGTGTTTGTTGGTGTGTGTGTGTGTGTGTGCGTGGAGCCGAAATAGCCAACGGAGCTACTTCTAAAAAGGTATAAACAACTGGGTGGAGTGTGGAAATGTTTTTTCTTTTGCTCAGATAAGACTCATCGAGGTCAAAACTGCTGACTGGGAAACAGAGTAAAATAAATCACTGCAGCGCTCCTTATTTCTACGTACGAATAGAGCCTCGGACGGGTTGTAGAAATACTGGCGCTAACTTGCAAGATGATGAATAATAAGGGGGAAAAGTTACACTAGTTACTGTGTTTCTATTGATTCAGCATAAGTGACCAATTGTAAGCGAGTCAAATGTATTTATAAAGCGCTTTTCACAAGAGTCACAAAGTGCTTGACACAGCATTAAAACATCATACGAATAAAGACGTGCCAAAAACACAATAAATAATACAAACGTACATATTGTGTCAACAAGCAGTGAAGCCAGGAATGTTAAAGCAGATAAAACTGTCTTTTCTATAAGCAAAGAACAAGAAAGTAGCCGTAACAAACCCTCTGATGGTAGCAGTGTCAGTTTGAGATATAGAAAGGTCACACGGCAACCTGACAGAATCATTGGAACCTATTGCTTTTCCTCCCCTCTACCGACTCTCTCCGTCTTCCATTAACCTTTAAAGAGGGTTGTTTTTCCCCTCCATGCTCCGTCAGTTCCCTCCGCTCCAGCCAGGCCCTTTTAACCAGAGCCGTATCGACTAACGTGAAGCCGAGTGAGAAATGGTAACCAGTCACAGAGTCCTATTGACAATAGCAGACTAAAGATAATGTCCAGGAAAAACTAATTGAATTTTGATGATTAACCGAATCAAGGGTCAGATATTCACATACAAACAGCGATGTACTCCAGTGTGTCGCCTAGGGTTACTGCCTTGGCAGGGTGCTGCTCGGGTACCCCCCCCAACGGAAAAAATGTTTGGGACACCCGAAGGTGTAGACCAGGGGTGCCCAACCGGTCCGGGGAGATTCCCAGTCGATCGCAAGATGTGTCTAAAAATAGAACAACAACATTCTGTTTTATCGTTAATGTCCTAAAACATAATCTTCCTGTGCCAGAATAATGCACTTGAACGCATCAAAGCTTTGTGATTGGCTGGCGTGACCCCATGTGTCAGGGAGTGGCTTGTGGGCAGTGGGCACTATTTCGCTGACGTTGTCCGTGTCAACAGGAGTGACACTCCGCACACACACAAGACCGCAATTATGGCAGAAGCAAAAAAAGCCCAAAATATATAATTCTCACTCCGAGTGGGAGGATCATTATTTTTGTATCTATTCCAATTCAAAGTCCATCTGTCTCATCTGCAATGCGAGCGTGGCTTTATCGAAGAAGGGTAATTTAGGAGCGGCATTTCAAAACAGTGCACAAACGCTACGAGACGGAATTCCCTCCTCATTCTGCCCTACGCTCCAAAAGGGGAGGGGCCTGAAAGGACAGCTAAATGCACAGCAGTCCATTTTCACCAGGCCCAACAACAAGAGCAAGGCTGCTACCAGAGCATCTTATCGTGTCAGGCACGTTCTTGCCAAACACATGAAGTCTTTCAAAGACGGCGAAGTTGTGAAAGAAGCATTCCTGGAGGCTGCCGACGCGCTTTTGGGGGACAGTAAAAATAACAGAAGCATTTCAACAGGTTTTTGATATAATAAAAACTCAAGTTAGATACTGTTATTAATCAGCTGTAAGTTTTAGTTTGTTTGAACGTATTCATTATAATTATTGTACAAAATGGTATAAGAATGCAAACTTAAATTGATTAGTCTATTATCAATTCAGGTTTAGAAACTAGTGTTGCTTGCATCCTATTTTTTTAAAAAGGCATTTATTTTTATAATCTACTAAAATGCAACAAAAAAGGGTTTGATTCTATTAATGTTGTCTTTTTTATTGCACGTTGGCAGCAGATTCCTGAGTAGCGTCAGATCTGAGTTGTCTTATTAGTGAGCCTAATTTATACTTTTGTAGCAACACTATTTTTATATAATGGCAAAGAAAGGGTTCAGAGTATTTTCTTTTTTCCTGTGTCATATGTGGCAGCACTGTTCAATGTTTCTTGAAAACATTACCCACTGTAGTGATGTGTGAATAAACTCTGTATCAACAACACTGTTGTGTGACTTCAGTTAAATACTTGTATGTGTGTAGATTAGAAAGAGGTAAGATAAAGGATCTGCAGGATTTTATGAAGTATTAATCGTACAAATGTAAATACACACTTCAAGTAGAAGTGTGTATTTACCTGGTAGTAGGCTGTCAGTAATGGCTACGCCTCTCTATTTGGACTGGTAGATCTCGGCAGACTGGCAACTTTAAAAGTAGCTCTCGGTTCAAAAAAGGTTGGGCACCCCTGTTTTAGGGTCTTATATATTATGTTGCATTATTGGAGGAGCCTGGGACTTCACATTTTCCTTGCCATGTCTTCATTGTAGCAACTAGGGGTGGGAATCACCAGGCTCCCCACAATACGATACTATCGCGATACTTAAGCCACGATACGATATATTGCGATATTGCAAATCCCATGCGTCATATCCATATCCGTCTTCCCTTCCTGGTTAAAACATGTATTTGCAATATGAATAGTTAATGTGAATAACCCAATTTGTGTTCTTTGAACCTGAAAAGGAGATGGCATTGTATTTGTTACTTTCATTGCTTGTATACATGTCTTAACGTAACTTGCTGTTTTATATACGACCGTCTTTCGGAGGGATACGCTACACTTTATATATAAAAAAAGTTTATATGATGAAATATCGATACATGGCATCCGTGTATCGATACAATATCGCCACGCAAAGTATCGCGATACTATGCTGTATCGATTATTTCCCCCACCCCTAGTAGCAACTGTGCATATTGCAATAAAGCCTTTGAATCTTGTACCATAGCAATAACGCTGAATCAACACTAAAACAGGTGCATTTATCCGTTGCTGGATCTCTCACCAATAACAAAGGCCTCCTTGAAGGTGGTCCCGGTGACGTTGTACCACGGGGGTCTGCCGGCGGTGTAGATGGTGCGCTTGTTCGTCCTCAGCAGCGGAGGCTCCGATTTGGACTGGCTGGTTGTCCGTTTCCGTGGTGACAGAGACGGGGTCAAAGGGCAGCGGGGGGCACAGTTCGGGAGGCCGTCCAGGGAATCATCTCCACTCCCACTGGAGGGGAAGAGAGCAGAAAATCGACATGTTTTCTGTTCAGGTGATGGGTCTTTAGTTGCGATACGATAACACTTTAATGGTCAGATGAAGTCTGAAATGTGACTTGCTTCACAGCAGCTCCATGTGTCACATCAACAGACAAATATCAAGACACAACACATGAACAACAAACAACAAAAATAACACAGAGAAAACATTTTCAATGACCCTTTAGCGTGCATTTGATCTGGGTAGGATTGTATTCACTGAGGATTGACTGGAGCTCCATTTATAAGCACAATAACAGTGTCTGCTTTACTGCAGGATATTCTTAGACCAAATACCTGTGATTTGTCAAGTTTCCAAAAGGCAGGGCGTTATTTGAGGGACCAGACTGGGCACTAAAAATCAATACAAATCATAATCATGGTTAATAGTGGGAGCCAAAATAGTGACAGATTTCATACAAGCTTTACAACACAATATCATATATGTTTAGGTATAGAGTTTAGGGCTGCAACCCTACTATTACATTTTAATTAAAGATTAATCTGCCACATATTTTCTTGATTCATCGATCAGGAAGTTGGAAAAGCTATAAGAGATATAAAACTGAAAAAGAATAGTCTCATATTTGAGTTTTAGTTACATATTTGTTTTCACAAAATGATTTGATGTTGAATTGAAGAGTATTTGATACCTTGGTAGTGACTATCAGGGATCAAAATAAATAATAAAAGCATTTTCTGAAGACTTGACTGGAAGCAAACCAGTTGACTGTCAGTCACAATTCCATGTAACCAACATTTTTGGTGCATATCTGTAACCATGACACTGACCAGATGTTTCCAGTTGCTGTTCAATGAAGGTTGCCACCTCAGCCACATCGGTTTTATTCTTTCGACGCCAGAGCTGCTTCTTGCTTAAAATTAGTGGTGCACGATAATTATCGGCCCGATATTAGGAATTATGACGTCATCCCGATAAACCCGATAACAGTATTAATAGCCCCGATAATATACAATATATTTTTGGGGTAAAAAAAAGAAAGAAATACTGCGCTGTGGGTGGATTGGGATGAGGGGCGCTTGTTTTTCACTCGGCTCCTCCCGTTTTGCCAGTACTGTGGTATTAGTGGTTTAGGAAGAGGGGAGTTCTTCACAAATCCAGCGCTCCCTAACTCATGCCTGGCTGTGACGTAAATGGTGTGCGGCCGTGAAGCCAGGACAGTAAACAAACATGTCAGAGTTAGATAGTTCGCTTGCTATTTGTATTAACAAATGCAGAAGTTCCACGAGGAGGGAAAAAGGCAACGAGCTATAATACTTCCAACCTGATTAGTCATCTGAAACATCGCCATCGCTACGATGGTGTGTTAAAAGCGTACGAAGACGCCTGCGCTGCTAAACTAGCGGCGAATCCAAAGCCAGCTGCAAAGGCACCGGGGCTTTTACCTATCCACGAGGCTTTTGAAAAAGGCAAGAAGTTTGCCAGAGACGACCCCAGCCCCAGGGTTAGTTTTGTTCATAGTAGTAATGCTCATGTCATTTGCTCACTACTAGTCTTTTTTTTACCACCAGGTGTGCAAAAACTACAGGTACATTTAATATATATATATATATATATATTATATTATTATCGGTTATCGGTATCGGTCTTGAGAAGCAGGAAGTTATCGGTATCGGTTTCAAAAAACCAATATCGTGCATCCCTACTTAAAATCCTGTCAAGGGTGCGTTTGCTTAGTACAACTCCATGTGGATCAGCAAGCAAATTAAGTATTTCATCTGTTGTAAATCCACGTTTAAAGTAGTCCTCAATGTACTCGCAATCCATTTCCGTGTCAAGATAAATAGGAGAACTCGAGCCAAAGAGCTGCTAGTTTGTCTGTTGTGACAAAGTATCTAATTATGACTTTTGATCTCATAATTATGACTTTTGATCTCATGACTTTTGATCTCATGACTTTTGATCTCATGACTTTTGATCTCATAATTATGACTTTTGATCTCATGACTTTTGATCTCATAATTATGACTTTTCATGGGGATTTAATTTTTTTTAAGTGGCGGAAATGGGCTTCCATACAATGCACTTCTGATTTAGACTAATGTTAACTTTTTTTGAATGTTTATTAGTATATGTTGCCATCAGAAATGCCATTTAAGCTCATAGCTGGCCCTGTGCTGCTGCTCAAATACAGGCAATTATGTTGTTTGGTAGTATCTGCAGGCTCCACAAAGCTAAGTAAGCCAAGGTGAGCTTTTTTCTGATCACGCATAGCTACTCAAAGAAGCTATAAGTGGGCAGAAAATGGCTCCATCAGGACCTCTGACTCTTTGACCCAAATGTGATCATTTAAAGCCGTTATTTAAGATGTTTGTGGAGCTGCAGATGCTGCTCTGTCCTGCAGAGAGACGAGAGGGAGTCTGTGATCTTCAGTGACTCTCTCTGAACTTTCTCTCCACAGGGAGGTCTGCTGTCGGTGTGGTTGAGGGGGAGGAAGGGGGAACTTGCCAACTCTCCCCAGGAAAACACACCGCTGCCTGGACTCAGCATGGCACAGGGGGGGGGCCAGCGTTCACATGAGTAAAGCTGTCATCACTTGGCTGGGACATTTTGTGCACTGTGATTATATCAGGTCAAAATAAATGTCTAAATCTGGCGGTGCATTGTTTCCTTGCTTATCCTAAACATGTTGAATGTAAAAACAGTACAGTCTGCAGGCCAAGAGGTGCTTTAGTGGGCATGACATTTACAGAGGAAAAAGGGCTTTCCGTAACAGTTTGAAATACTTCCCTAGCAGCGGTTTGTAGTATTTAATAAAAGGCACTAATCTCTCTCATTGTGGTGTAAGTGGCAAAGTGTCTGAAAAATGAATGTACTGTAAATATAAGCTTCTCTCAAACTTGTTTGTGTAATCTCTTGAAGTAATAACTATCCAAATGTCTGCGTATCTGATGAATAAAGTTTTCTTTCAATACGTAAGATGCTTAATGTTCTTTCACATTTAAAAACTGCTGCTGCTGTTTAATTGTTGTAATGTTCAATGTGGGTGTTTCTATGAGGCATTAGATTTTCTCCGTTAAAAGGTGGTCCTTTATTTTTATGAAGACAATGGAGAAAGCCTTATAGAGCTTGCTACCACAATTCTGACAGGCCAATTAAAATCTACTTAAGTGCATAAGATAAGGATCAATGCTTCAATAGCTTACATTTGTATTAGGCCCCGTCCACACGGAGACGGAAATGAAAAGATGTCGATATCAAAAAAGTCTTCCGTCCACACGGAATCGGCTCAAGAAATGTATCCGTTCACACGAGACCGCTTGACCCGCTGGAGACCAGGGCTCTCGACTAACTTTTTTCCCCATCCTCCCGGAACCGTCCCGAAATATAATCTAAGCCGTCCCGAAATGAATGTGGACCGTCCCGAATTTAAAATGTTAGTTTTTCTACATTAACATTAGTTAAAATCATTCAAAGTGGCCTTTAACATAAATAAAACATCATACAAATCATTAGATGATAATTCATCAACCTTTTTATTTGAGTAAATCATTCAATCACATAAACAAAGGCCAAATATATTTAAACAAACACACAAATGAGAAAATTACTCTAATATTGAATCCAATCAAGTCCCATCCAATTAACAAAAAAATATCCTGAAGACAGAACCCAGAGTAACCACTAACCAGGATGACAGTCTGTAACACAGCCAGGAGGCCTTTACAAACGGCCCCGCCCCCTCGCACACAGACGGGAAAGAGAGATCTCGTCTGGATTGGAAAGCTCGAAAACACATCATAGACGCATGTTGTAGTCTTATTGCATATTAGAAACGGAGTTGGTGAAACTAAAACTGCGATATAATGTGTATGTAGCAATAATACATATGACATATCTTTTTTAAATGTCTCCAGTACCGATAAAAAGTCCGATAACGTCGGAGCTTAACGTTACCACTGTCTTTAATAATTCCGGCCCGGCGCCCGTTTAATACCGGGGCTCGGTACCCATCCCTACATGGAGAGAGGCAGCATATTGCTAAGGACTAAATACGATGGAGAGTTCTCATCTCAGCATTATTACCCGTAGGGGATGAAGAGGAGTAAGTAAATAAAGAGGCCGGCGCTCCAGGGTCTGGTTCTGCTGTGCGTTTTTGTGATGTAACGGTAAAACATTTCAGAATTCCTCCACGGGATGCCATTGTACATCACTCAACCCGCGAAATACACACACTCAGTAGCTAGACCCGCAAATTTGCGGGCCAGGAATTCGTGGGCACAGCTGTAGCTACATGTGTGTGTATTTCACAGGTTTCTAAATGTTTTGTGCGTGTGTGTTTATCATGGTGTTTATGTTGACAAGGAGGTTTAATAACTGTGTGCTACACAAAACGTGCAGTCGGTTTTATTTTCATCGCCGTTTGTAGTAGAATTAGCAGGGTATTTTTATTTTAACTCTCGTCCCAAATTCGTCCCAAAATTATTTGTTATCCTCCCCGACACTATTTTTTTCGGCCCCGGGACGACGGGACGTCCTGAAGCTCGAGCCCTGCTGGAGACGCTGTAGTACATATGCCTGGCCTGTAAGTGGCGCTGTACTTCTGCCACAAAATACACCAAAAGCAGCGACGAAGCGCCCCCTGAGCATGGTTGCCCTTCTGGTTATGCCCTGCGGTGGATTTAGCAACATGTACTTCATGTAGATCTCCATGTCCACTTGTTGCTGATGGTTGTGTAGAGGAGCTGTAGATTTGGCACTAACATCTGTAGCATGGTCAGTAGCATCTGGAGCACGAACGCAACCCTGTGACCCGCCATTGTTGTTGTTGGCGAAACGCATCAGCAATGACCCGGGTGACGCGGGGGTGAGCAGGAGAGGTGGGGAGAGGCGGGGCTATGATCGTTTAGGGCGTATTCTAGGGCTGCTCAATTAATCGTATTTTAATCACAACGATTACGAAAACAATGTAATTGAAATAAAACGATTATTTTATTATTTCAATTTTTTTTATTGGTTTTTCAGTTGAATTATACTTAAAGTTCAGGGTAATCAACTGTTAAAAACATAATGTTCACATTTTTCAATAAATGGATGTTTTCAAAGTAAATAATCGTTTTTTAATAATCGTGATATCAATTATTGACCCAAATAATCGAGATTATGATTTTTGCCATAAACGAGCAGCCCTAGCGTACACACGGTGCCGCAAGCGTTAGGTTACCAGACCTTCCCACTTTGGGATGCGTTATCGTTTGAGGGCTCCGTTTCCGCCTCGTCCATACGATAAAGAACTATAGTGGAAAACACCCGTTTCGTCTCCGTGTGGACGGGGCCTTAGTCAATCCATATTAACCTGACCTATTTCATGCCAGAAATGACACATATCCCCCCAGAATTGAGCATAATCCATGTGGGGGAAATTATACTATAATAATCACACATAAAGTGAATAAACAGATGTTTGCACAGCCATCTGCAGGATATCTTCAGTACTACTGCCAGACACCTGATCCCCTTCACTTCCTCAGTGCTACGTGGTAAATATGCAAGATGAGAGTGCTATCAAAGTAGCATTAGAATAGAATATAATTCCTTTATTGTCATCGCACCAGGTACAACGATAGGCAGTGCAGCAAAACATCCAATATATTATATTAAAACCATAGAGATGCTGTGGTTGTTAATAATAATAGATAGATACTTTATTTATCCCAAGATAGGACATTATTTTGTCACAGCAGCATGTTGACAGTCAATCTAGAGGAATTACAAAATTAGTTTAAAAATAGACTTCAAAAAACAACAACATTAACAATAATATATGAATATTTAAGTAGAAAATACCTATATACCTCATCATTAATACGATTTTAAACAAGGCATATGGGAGGTAAATGGTTTCTGGGCAAGCCAAATCTACCAGGACACATTTAAACAATGTAAAAAATCATGTTAAAGCATTAAAAACCATTTTCCAACAAGATATGTCAACAATTTGTCTGGTTTCCATAAAGCATGACAGACCGTTATAAGCTGTATTGAGCCAGGGGAAGGTAGCTAGTGTTAACACAGCTGTAGCTACAAAACACACAAACATCTGACACATATTTAAAGAGATTGCCAGCACCTCTTTGTTGTTGTGTTAACCTTATTTGATTTGTCTGTGTATCTTTTGTTCCCTTTAGCACAATGCGTGGGTACAGATTGTGGAAGCTAGCTTCGTTAGCTTAGCAAGCGAGCATGAGCCGTTATAACAGTGTGTCTGCTTCGTGTCGCAGACTTTCAGGCTTTCTTTTGTTGTTGTACTTACCTGTCGGACCTCAACATGGACTTGTCCGCCTCCACACCTTCATCTGGCGGCTGTTCTGCCGGTTTAACGGTACTATCGCTGCTGCTGCTGCTACAGCTGGCTGTTTCCATGTTGGCAACAGCGCGGCGCGGAAACCAAACAGTGAGAGCGTGATGACGTCAGGCAGCGTAAACTCATGCTGCATTTAAGGTAATCGGAAAAATGTGTACCAAGTCCTTAAAAGCACGTGAATGCATTGTATAGTTAGTAGTACCCAGCGCCATACAGTCTATGAGTAGTACATGTTAATAAATGGAAACAACTTCATCTCAAAATGTCCTTCACTACTTTTTTTGCCACAAGTACTGGGCAATTTTGACATTTTTTGATTCAATAATCTTTATCAAGTTTATATAAAAATCTTTTTTTTTAAATTGATGTATTTAATTCTTATTTTCATCACTTTATTTTCGTTTTAATAAATCTGTTTTTTCATATTAAATATCTTTAAATGTTATTTTTCAAGTTAGTTTTTATGATTGTATTATGAATTGTATTATCATTATTTTAATTATGTTCTTATTATTATTTTATTTCATCATTTAATTATTATTATTTTATTTTAAGTGTTATTTTTAAACACCCAGGAGCGGGACATATTCTGTATTCTGCTATATGCTGATGATAAATCTGGAACATTTTCCCTGCCACTTTTTCTAACAAAGTGACGCACATGGTCCCTGAATGCACCATTGGTCATGAATGATAACTCAGAACCGCAAAACCCATAAATAGGCCAACTAACCAACTAACTCTGTTTTGTGTAAAAAATGTTATCTAATAATAATACATAATATTATGCAGTTAGTCAACAAACAACTGTGGATTTTTCACACAGGTCTTAGTCTTTGGTAATAAGCCACAGTTTGAAGTAAAGTGAGGCATAGGCTTTTTATAACAAAATATATTCTTCTTAGATTGACACAAAAACAAGTCTGTAACAAGAGACATGAATTGCTTATAAGTGCAGTTTTTTTAGACTTTATTGTCTTGCTTTCTTTATTTACTATTTGTTGGCTGCATCAATGGGATTTTTCGGAGATTGTAATGAGCCTTATTTAATCTAACAAGCATCTAACGTTATGTACATCAACACTACTCCCAATTCGGTTTGATGATTTTAGTTTGAGTATATGTTCATACTGGCATGAGTCTATTTTCTAAGTACAGTGTTTCTTTCTCAAATATACAAGAAATCAGAATCATTCCCTTTATTCGGCATACGTATGCTTTTAAAGCACTAATCAAGCTGAATTTAATGCATTGATGAAGTAACATGAAGCCTAAGAAAGGCTGATTGAAAAATGACAGAAATGTGGATATGATTCATCTGAATACTTACAATAAAACATCATTTCAAAAATCGTGCAATTCAAATTATGATATGAAAACCTGTGGGGTAAAATAACGCAGTTGCCAATAATATGTTGATTTACAGCAGCTATGTTTTAAACAAAATATTTAAATGATGTTATATTTGATGTGTAATTGATTTGGGTTCTCATTGATGCTCGTCCCATTAGGAGCTCCACCAACCGGAGGTACTGCCTGTGTGCTGAGTTCAGGGTCCACTGAGCTGCAGTGTCACATGCTGCAGCATCGAGGCTATACAACTCCGCTGTCTGGTTTCAAACCTCCCTCAGAAAGCTCTGCGTTTTGTATTTCCTGCTTCTCCTGCACTCCGAACCGAAATGAAGGAATGTACCCGTTTGTTCTGAAGTATTTTTTACGCACAGAAATGTCTCGGCTGACTTTTCCTCGCGTCGAGTGAAGGCGGCAACTCCTGCAGCATCCTCTATACAAAAAAGAAGACAAATAAATCACCTTAACTTCTTCTTTTGTGTGCACATCTCAGACGGGACATTGATAAGGCACAGGCTGAATACATGGATACTAACGCTGCAAACTCGGAGAAATCGCAACTGATGCACGAGAAGAGTGCGAAAATGTATTCTTTAAAACTACAAAGGTGGGTTTTGCATGTTGTAGGATAATGCTGCATGTGGGGGAAACCCTGCAAAGTTACCTGTACCAACCCAATGTCATAGACTTAAAGAAATGCATATCTAAAAATCAACATAACTATTTATCCAGGTACAGTTTAAAGACATTGGAAAATAAGAACGTTTTTTTCTGGGATTTTTAAAATGTTTGCATCAGGATTTCTGCAGGATGTTTGTTGCTGTGTGTGTGTGTGTGTGTGTGTGTGTGTGTGTGTGTGTGTGGTGTGTGTGTGTGTGTGTGTGTGTGTGTGTGTGTGTGTGCGTGTGTGTGTGGTGTGTGTTTTAAATCGTGTGTGCTACGTTGTTACCGTGGTGCATTTGAAGCAGGCTGCCGCTCTTGCAGGCTATTTTATGTGAATGAACAAATTCATTTCCATGCTTGGCTTGTTTCTGGACAGCCTGTGACAAATGGCCCCGGGTTCAGTTCACTGAGCGGTGCTAAAACACATCATCTGTCATTAGAGAGGAGCTCTGCGCACGGCCCGTCTGCGTGGAGGAACAGGAGAAACATTATTTACATGGAAGTGTTTGTACCTGCACCTGAAGGCAACACCAAAACATCCACAGAGGTGTATTACCTGTAATGTGTGTATTTGATTCAAATGAGTGGCAAAGACATTTGTAAAGAAATTGACCATCCCAACTTTTTTTTTTATTATTCAAATTGTATGTTATTTCTAGAAAAATCATGTTCGTTGCAAAAACGACAGAAATCGACTTACGTGCTAACTAATACGTGTGCATTAAGGAGCTATCATTATAACACATACATACAAGGGAAACCGTTATAAAGTTAGAATAAATCAAGTAATATCACAAACAACAACAAAAACCGAATAATGAAGTGAAGGCACCTGAGCAGTTTTTCGTCTCCGAATATCACAACTTATTGAAAACAAAAATACATTCTGCAAGTCTTAAGATTTATTTGTTTAACACGAAACTAGCTGCTGCAGAAACACAACCACTAACACTATCAGCGCTTTTAACATGGGAAGTATCGGCATACATGCATGGGATAAATACAGTTGAATTAAGGACAATTATGTTTTAACTTCATATTTCAGTATCCGGCCTCCAGATGTGTTCATGCGTCTGATCAATAACTGGTTTCATATCAGCTGCTTACTTTTAAAGCCGATCCGAAAAATGTCACGCGCAATTAGCACGAGAAAGAGGAGGACACGACACATGTGATATTTAGGCCTCGGAAAAATCACCATCACCAGGATGAAACATCATTTGTAGAAATGTAAAAAAAATATTATTATGGTTTAGAGGGGCGATGGGGGGGTTGTGTTAGCTGCGCGTGTGCTTGTGCGCGTCAGTGCGTGTGTGTGTGTGTGTGTGTGTGTGTGTGTGTGTGTGTGTGTGTGAGGGAGAGAGAGAGATGTGCATATGGCATCCCATTTGGGATTTCATGCACCATTTGCACTGAGTGTGTTTGTGTGTGTGTGTGTGTGTGTGTGTGTGTGTGTGTGTGTGTGTGTGTGTGTGTGTGTGTTTACTGTGTCATCGTCAGCATTTCCCCCAGCTGGCAGCAGCAGCCAAGTGGTTTAAGTGACATCCTTGTTCACACGAAGGCCCCAAATATAAAAGACAATAATATTTATATATGGTTTTTCTAAATCTGACACATTTGTTGTACCACTTTGAGATGAGGCATTGCTTATAAATAGTTTTTAGAACATATACATTTAATTAAAGTAAATTATATCATTTTGTATTAATGATTTATAGATCATAGGTCAATTAATCAATTAGTCAACCAACAGACCATCAATTGGCCACCACTAACTATTTTAGGGATTGTTTCTCTTTGTCAAGCCATTTGCAAAAGTGTGTAAGTACAAGTTATAAATATATTGTGTTATTAATAAATACTACTTATTCATCCAGCCTGCATTTGGAAATTTTGAGTTAGAAAATTGTGCAATTAATGATTATTTGAATTCATTAATTTACCATCTGATTCATTTGTAAGGATGAAAATTATCCGTTTTCTTCATAACATGTCATCAATTGTATGGAATGCCAAGATGATGCGTTCAAATGTCTTGTTTTCTCTAAACCTTCACTCATCAATCTAGAGATATCCAGTTTACAAAGACAGACAATTAAAATATGTTAATGTATATGTTTTTTGTACAATTTGGGGAAAGCATGAGGGTGTTTCTAAAAAATGCAACGAGTCAGAACTCAGAGAGACACGAGGAGAGCTGGAGCTTTGATGTCAAACACTGATGGGTTTATTTGGAGATTCGGCCGGAGAATTCACATGACAAGTCAAAGAGTCAGAGGGTCTGACTTCACGGTAGAGTTGCCACGTCTATTCTGAAGAACTCTACCCCAGACCCGTGTGTTTAGCTAGTTCAGAGAGAATCATCAACACGCTGCATAACAGATAGAATCATAACACCTCTATCAGCTGACGCCAACAGGCAGGAACAGGGAGACAGAACACTGAGAGCCACGGTTACAGGTGCGTGTGCTCAGTCAGTATGAACTGATACACCGGGTCACAGTTATGGGCCTTGGTAAATATTTCCCCAACAGTTATATTTGGGAAGAACATTTTTTGCTTTTTCAATTTGACATTGTTGTAAAACTGCAATAATCACGCTCACATGTCGAAATGCATGCTGGGATACATGTGCTGTCAACTTCATGCGAGTAAGCAACCCTCAGTAAAATGAGCCATAACAGAATGATAATCCATCAATACATCAAGTTTAAAATGTATGTACATGTTGTCATTGATAAACAGCACCATGCTAATCGTTCCCTCTGTTTCCATTCTTTATGCTAAGCTAAGCTAACCAGCTGTTGGCTGGTTTTTATTAATTACCGCTCAAATATGAGAGTTGTGTTAGTCCTCTCATCTAACTCGCAGCAAATAAAGTCAATTAGCGTATTTCCCTAAATGTGGGATTTATAAGAAACACTATATAAAACAATACTTATTTTTTAAGAATTAAGTTTGATTTGACATGATTTTAGTTTTCTTAAAATAGTTGTGTTTTTTATTTTTGTTTTATTTGTGTGTCTGCACCACGACACCAAGTCAAATTCCTCGTACGCAGGGTTCGAGTTATGTGGGAGCCAATGGGAGCTGAGCTCCCATAAGGAGGGGTCTGAGCTCCCACGGACGCAGTGAAATCATACATCTGTGGGGGTCGCTAATACATTACCACCAACCATTATTTTAATCACAAATAATGCAAGTGTCAATGTAAGTATTATTTACGTTAACGAGGTAAATAGGCTAAAAGAAAAACATGTTTTCCAAAAGAACAACTTATCTCTTGAATGACAATATGCCTGCGCTGCACTTCCAAGGTGCGCAATACATTATTGCGCAATCTATGCCTGTGAGCGTGCTGCGCGAGCCGAGATGATGTGTGTGTGCGTAGTTGAACCTTTTCATATTTAAGTTTGTAGCAAGTAGAGGGCTGCTGGCAGGCCCGGACTGGCCATCGGGAGGACCCGTAGGTTTCCCCATTGCCTGGCGAACATTTTTTTTTTAATGTAGGCTATTGTGAACGCAACGTTGCGCAAATGTGGGTTTGCCTCACACAGGGGGACAGTCTGTCGACATGATGTGGCCTATGTTTCATATGGGTGTTTCCATAGATCTAGTCTCTTTATTTCCCCCTCAAAATGCACCAGATTAATGCATTTAACTCAAAAATTAAAAAAATATCTTACCGGGGGGCATGCCCCCGGACCCCCCTTGAGGATTTGAGGTCCACCCCCAAAATATGTTCACATGGATAGGTTCCCAAATACATGTGCACATTTTTTTGAATAGTAACCCCTGTCCATATGTTTATTATTGGTGTGTGTTTGAGTTTGAGTGTTTCAAAGACCCCCATAGAGCTCAGTTTATAACTCGAACCCTGCTCGTACGTGTCAGCCTACCTGGTGATAAATGTTTCGATATGTTTGTGTTATGGGTTAAGATAAAAACAGCAATAATAACACAATTCCTCTCGGCATCATCATCACTTTTGCTCGTCTATTAAAGCAACCGGACCAAACCTAATTCATGGACAGATATTTGATCGTCTCTGTTCTGCAGCAGACCGTGGTTCCTCCCTGCAGGCGTTGTTGCATCAGATGCATCAAGTTTTGCCCTGAGCTCTGACAGACTGCAGCTGTAATTAAATGCTGGATGGTTATTGTTTCAGTCTCTTCGTTTCATATCATTTCACACACCACTGACCCTCAGGCCTCAGGAGTGTCCACACACACACACACACACACACACACACACACACACACACACACACACACACACACACACACACACACACACACACACACACACACACACACACACACACACACACACACACCTGCCCTGCAGCGTATCGACTCACAGTAACAGCACACTGTTGTTGTTGTTCTGCTCTCCGAGAACTTAATGCAGCGGGTAATACACACCTGATAGAAGAGGATGACTTCTGCAGAAAACCGCCATTAAATATCCGTCATAAGGCCATAACCATTAAGCTCACAGCTGTTGTGTTAGTGTTGTTGAGAGATAACGCATTACCAGCGATGTTCAGGAACACCTTCTGCATGAGCTGCTGTGTGATTGGAAGCAGGGATCGATGGAATGGAAATCTGTCGTCCAAGTCATTTACCAAGACCTATGGAGGAAAATGTACTTACTATAAGTGTATCGACTCGTTTCAAGATTCAAAGGTTGTTTTCTAATAATATGAGAGCTATGGCGTTGTTGTTGTTGTTGGAATTGAAAATCTGAAGTCTCACGCTCGTATAATTGAAGCTCTTTAAGCCCGAAGGCCCCATTCTGCTTGATTTCAGGTTCATATTGTTATTTAGCTTTAATGTTCAAAAAGCTCTTTATTTCCTCATGCTGCCTGTGCTGCAGCACCTCTTTTCACCCTCTGTCTGAAACCAGAGCCCAGTCTGCTCTGATTGGTTAGCTGGCAGGCTCTGTTGTGATTAGTCAACCACTTAGAGATGTCCCGCCCCTTAGCCTATCACGTACAATGTGTTGGAGCGCTGGCCAATAGAAGCACTAGTGTTACAATTGTGATGTTACTATGTTCCGGAAGCAAATACAGGAATCCAAGTATATATGTGTGTGTGTGTGTGTGTGTGTGTGTGTGTGTGTGTGTGTGTGTGTGTGTGTGTGTGTGCGCTTAATTCCCAGAGGTATAATTGAACCGAATCTGTTTTATACTTGGCTGATTCTTTTCAGCATTAATATCCCCTAAGGTGTCTAGGCGTGTGTGTGTGTGTGTGTGTGTGTGTGTGTGTGTGCGTGTGTGTGTGTGAGAGAGATAAAGGCTATAGTCATGAAACACTGGTAATCTCCATGTGAAGTGTGTGACATAAAGTGTGTGTGTGTGCGGTTATCTCAAATGAGACCAAATTAGTTTTTTTCCACCTCATTAGCCACATCATCCCCCTCACTGCACACAGCAATAACCTGTGTGTGTGTGTGTGTGTGTGTGTGTGTGTGTGTGTGTGTGTGTGTGTGTGTGTGTGTGTGAGCAAAATAGAGAAGTCAGCATTTTGTTTGGTTCTCGTGATTGAAATCCAGCTCTGTGTGTTTAGAGGTGAATAACAGGTGTAATCCCCAGGAGAAACATATTGTAACCAGATGTGACCCGTTTAGAGAACTTTACACAATAATTGATCAATAATAGAACAACTTTAGAGGTGAATATAAACACGTTTCTGCAGTAAAAGCAGAAAAAGAACAGAGAGCAGGAAACTGTGAGGCAAATCAGAAACAGCTTCTGTGAACCCTGCAGAAATAAGACATAAAGTGTGTAATTCTCAAAGCTCGCACATACAGTAGGGCAGGGGTGGGGAACCTCCTGCCTCCGGGCCGTATGCGGCCCGCGAGACTATTTGGTACGGCCCTCGAGGTAATTTATAAACACACGCAAAAAAGAAAAAAATGTAAGAAATCTAGACCGCAAAAAAATTAAACAAGCGAGTGCCTGTTTTTCCTGGCCAAGGTCTTGAACACAACACGAGCCTAACGTGTCATCACGTGTATATGTCTCGACTGACAGGGGGCAGTTCTGACGGAGAGCACCAGAACGCAGCTCCAGCACTTCAGAAATGTCAGTACCCATAAGGAGCCGTACACATGCCGCAGTTTTTGCGTGGCTGTGTCTTTAGTTGAAAGCCCAGTGGCGATCTGTTCATCTGTCACACTGATCATACAGTCAATAACTTTGTTGTTATTAGCATCTGGTTAGCTAGCTATGCTAACGAATATAAGAAGCTTTTTCTACAACCAGTGAGGTAAAGGCACATCTTTATATGATCATTATAGTTATACAAAAACAAGAGAATAAAGTAAACAGGTATAAAATACTATATGACAGTAAAAAAAAGTTGTTATTAATAAAGAAGAATACAGTTTGAAAGGAGAGTGATTTGTCAAATATTCATAAAGAAAAATAAATCTGCTTCCAGTTCTGTTTCATATGTGTTGAGAGATGTATCCATAGATCTACTAATGTTGCTCTCAAAGTGCACCAGATTGATGCTTTTAACTTCAACATTTAAAAAAAAATCTTCCCGGGGGAGCATGCCCCCGGACCCCCGTAGAGGAGGTTAGTTCCCCCCCACTTAAATCATGTTCACATGGATAGAAAACTAAATACATTTGCACACATCTTGTGTTCATATCTTTCTGTTTTGGTGGTCACGCCACACCGTTCACGTGCATGCGCGAGTCATGGTGAGATATCTGGATTAAGAGTTTGCTTTTTCTTTGCACAGAATGAAATGAATGGGCTGTGATTTTTGTTTTTTAAGCAGAGGTCAATAATTTGTACGGCCCTCTGAGGATATTGTAAAAATTGAAATGGCCCTTGAGAGGAAAAAGGTTCCCCACCCCTGCAGTAGGGACATGCACCACTTACCAAGCAAATAGCATCATGGCACTGCTGTGCAATTTGCAGTATTTCAATCAGGTACACATGGTGTGTAAAATGGCCCCTTATATGCAAATGAGCCTCATTGATAAACCAGTCATAAGCTCATAAAGATAAGCGCTAATAGCCACACTCAGCTTTCAGAGAGATAGTGATAAAGAAAGACATTTAAAACTTTTGTACTGATAGGATATTAAATGTAAAATAGGGTTTGTATTATCATGTCTAAATTCCTCGCTTGAAGTTTTGAAGAACGCCTCTACATCTCGTCGATAACAAACTTCAGCTTGTGTTGAGAAAATGCTTATTTCTTCCTACAAAAGCAACATTTGCCACATTGATTGCAATTAGTTTGCACTTTAATATCATTAGCGCATGACCTTTTAGCGGTTGTAACGGTTAGCGGTTGCAACTGAGGTGCAATCAATTCTTTGTGAAGTAAACCGTGAAATGAGTCTGCTACATTACTGTCTAACATCTCTGAGCCACTATCCAGCCAATATCTAAACAACTATAGGATGGATTCCCATGATATGTTGTACACACAGTCATAGTGACAACAACATGTATCCCTCTTACTTTGGTTATCCTCTCACGTTCTCTTCTGTGCCAACATGAGGTGGACTTCTTGGCTTTTGAGTTACATTTTCATTGCTGTGAAACTTCTGTACGGATATGCACACCTCCCTTAGGATGAGGTAAGATTGAATCACAACTTTGGGGATACCCTGAATTTTCTTTTAGCCCCATCATCAGATCAAGATCAAGTTAGCATGTTAGCATTGATTGATTCTTACCTTGTTACCATACTAACGTTAGCATTGAGTTCAAAGCAGCTCTGTGCCTAGTGCAGCGTCACATAGATAAAACGGTCTGCTGAATATTAATCTGGTTTCACACTTTCTTCATCTGTCTTGAAGATTTGAATATCATCGCTGTGAAATGTGTGATAATTATGAAATAGATTAGGTCAAAAGGAAGCTAGCCAACACGTACCATTGGGCTACACTTGGGCTTACTTTATTTGAGAAGTGGATGTAAAGTGAGAGTCTTTGTGACACTAACATATGGCAAAGAATCATGTAGGAGCAGCAGCTAAATGTGACCTTGATGCTTAATAACACATCTTTCCGCTACGTATTAACCTCGATGTCTAAATGCAAATCACCAAATATGCTCAGGAGTTTTATTTCTTCTTACTCCTCCTCACTGTCACCTTTCATCGATTTCACCTTCTTCCCTGGATGACTCGTCTCGCCATTCTTCCACTTCAGTGAACATTGATTGTGATCCACTTTGTCAGGAGGAGATCTGTTTGCACTAAGTGGAGCTCTCCCAAACAAAACTGTGCTCTGTGGCAACATTTACTCAATGCCTTATACTTACTTTAGCAAACAGGAACTCCCTTTGAACACAGGGATTTGAGCCTTTGCAGACCGTTTACATGCACTAAAGCCTATAGAACACACTATAGGAAGAGACAACAACTAAAACATTATAGGGCCTCTTTAAAGTTAGTACCAATAGCCGCTTTCAAACCAAGTACTTTGCCGTACTCAGCGCCCAGCACTTAGTGCCCCCATGGAACTAAAGAGCAGATCGCGTTCACACCGGAATAAGTCCCTGAGGGAGGATTAGGCAAATGAAGCCACTGACGTCACTTCTTCTTCTTCTTCTTCTGCTTTGGGTTTACTGGCAGGCTGCAAAAAACTTCACGTATACTGCCACCCGAAGTCCCCGGCCGGAAGTCCCCGGAGTTGGGGGCTGACTTCAGTAGAAGCTGCTGGGACTCCCAGCAGCTTCTACTGAAGCCTTCCGAGTAAATCGCCAGAACGCCGACACCTCCTCATCTCCACCGCTCCCATGTTTTCTTTTGTGTTGTCATAAATTAGTCTCGCTCCGTTGGTGCGCGGGGCTAATGCTAATGCTAATAATGCTAATGCTTCACAAAACCTTTCAGAGTTTTACGGGGCGTGGATTGCATTCCGCCCAGCCAATCAAAATTGGTACTTTTTTCACCCCAGCAAAGTACCACCTCTCTAGCAGGCACTACAAATGGAGGTAAAAGTTCTCGGAACTAAGTTCTCTTTTTGGTGTGAACGCAACATAAGGGGTACTAACGGAACTAAACGGGAAAAGTACGGGTAAAAGTACTCCGGTGTGAACGCGCCTATTGGTCTTCTGGCAATGTGTTTTGTTGACACTGAGAATGCCAAACGAACAAATCATTGCAAAAGTTAAAGTTGACTCAATAACAGATAAAACATTTTCATGAGCGATCTGAACCTCCTGCATCGTCTCGAGAAAAACAGTCTATAAATCGGCATATTTGCAGATAGAGTCGTGTTGGCATCAAAATTGACTTCCCCAAGTACCTACTGTATATAATATTGATTCACTGTCTCCACAGTTCTGCCATTACTAAAAGTTGGTGCCATCACAAAAGCGTTTTGGCCTAAGTCTCTATTATCTTCAGTTGAAAGTAATAGTCTTGATTATGAACCTTTCGGGAGCTTTAAAAACAGTTTTAATGGAAAGGATTGACCATCTTCATTATCATATACCTTTTGTCCTCCCAGCAGCTCCTTTCCAGACTCCAAAGAGCAGTATCCAGACTCCAAAGAGCAGTATCCAGACTCCAAAGAGCAGTATCCAGACTTCCCATTCAAGAACGGAGGCATGCCGGGGGCCATGGAGCTGAAGCGGCCCGCGGGGGCGCACTGCCACGGGAAACAGAAGCTGGCGTGTGAGGAGAGCGGAGACCGGCTGCTGGCCAAGAAGAAACTCTACATCGCCTCCGCCGTCTGCCTCGTGTTCATGATCGGAGAGGTCATAGGTAAAGATCAGAAGATCAAACCTTAAAACACAGAAAAGAGGGGTCGGACGTATTTTTTAACAGAAGAGATTGTATAACAACTTTGGTGAAAGCCTGAATTTTCTTTTAGCCGCATCATCAGATCAAGATCAAGTTAGCATGTCCGCGTTGATTGATTCTTACTAAGGCTGCTCGATTATGGCAAAAATCATAACCTTGATTATTTGGGTCAATAATTGATATCACGATTATTAAAAACGATTATCCCTTTACTTTGAAAACATCAATTTATTGGAGAAGAAAATGTGAATAACAGTTGATTACCCTGAACTTTAGTATAACTCAACTGAAAAACCAATACAAAAAACGAAATAATAATAATTTACAACATTTTTTTTAAAATTTCGATTACGTTGTTTTCGTAATCGTTGCAAGCCATAATCGTAATTGCGATTAAAACACGATTAATTCAGCAGCCCTAATTCTTATCCTGTTAACATACTAACGTTAGCATTTAGCTCAACGCGGCTCTGTGCCTATGAGCAGTAATCTGGTTTTACCCTTTATTTGTCTGTGTTGAAGATTGTTATATAATGGCTATGAGAGGTGCAGTCGGAGAGGTCATAGGTAAAGATTAGAAGACCAAACCTTAAAACACAGAAAAGAGAGAGGTCAGACATATTGTTTAGTTGGTAAAGATGTTTCTTACATGGCACATTTGTGTTTTTATATTTACGTTGTTATTTGAAACTACAGCGAGTTTTCTCTAATGTAAATGTTTTGGAAACGTTTGCCTCTATCAGCCATCGTACTGAGGCTCTCTTCACATCTGCAAACTACAATAAACAAAGCTGAACCATTGCGTGGGAGGTAATAACCTTACTGATAAAAATATGTCAAAGTTAATCTCCTGTATCAGCTTTCTTTCACAGGTTAGGTAAACCTTACCACAATCCCCACATACAGACAATGTATAACAAGTAAACTCTTTAGAAACTTGCTGACAGGGAGTGTGTCCTGAACTGTGAACACAACCTTTACTAACACCTACGGAGTCTGAGCCATTTAAAGGTTTATTAACTTGTACTTTGATGCAGCTACAAAGCGTGTTATGTTCCTTATTACACCTGTAATGCCTCAGGTAACAGAGATGTAATATTATTTTTATTACATCGTAAAACATCTGAGAAATCAGCCAATGTATTTAAAGCACCCTTTCATAGTCTGCAGTCCAAACACGTTTTAAGCTGTCCAGAGAGAGATGGGACTTCAGTCCTGCTGTATTTCCATTATGAGGACATCAATAATAACAAAATAAAAAAACCAATTAGAATGAGTAATTTTTTTTAAACAGTTTGTCACATCCAATAAAACTAACGGTTAATGGATTTATATTTTGTATAAGCTAATAATCTGAATCTGTAAAGTAACGAATTAAGTATAAAATACCATATTGACACTTAAAGGTTACCTATGATGCAAAATCCTCTTCTTCATGTCTCTTCTACATCAACATGTGTCTCCTCTTCTTCATGTCTCTTCTACATCAACATGTGTCCCCTCTTCTTCATGTCTCTTCTACATCAACATGTGTCCCCTCTTCTTCATGTCTCTACTACATCAACATGTGTCCCCTCTTCCTCATGTCTCTTCTACATCAACATGTGTCCCCTCTTCTTCATGTCTCTTCGACATCAACATGTGTCCCCTCTTCTTCATGTCTCTACTACATCAACATGTGTCCCCTCTTCTTCATGTCTCTTCGACATCAACATGTGTCGCCTCTTCTTCATGTCTCTCTACATCAACATGTGTCCCCTCTTCTTCATGTCTCTTCTACATCAACATTTGTCCCCTCTTCTTCATGTCTCTTCTACATCAACATGTGTCCCCTCTTCTTCATGTCTCTTCTACATCAACATGTGTCCCCTCTTCTTCATGTCTCTTCTACATCAACATGTGTCCCCTCTTCTTCATGTCTCTTCGACATCAACATGTGTCGCCTCTTCTTCATGTCTCTCTACATCAACATGTGTCCCCTCTTCTTCATGTCTCTTCTACATCAACATTTGTCTCCTCTTCTTCATGTCTCTTCGACATCAACATGTGTCCCCTCTTCTTCATGTCTCTTCGACATCAACATGTGTCCCCTCTTCTACATGTCTCTTCGACATTAACATGTGTCCCCTCTTCTACATGTCTCTTCTGCATCAGCATGTGTCCCCTCTTCTTCATGTCTCTTCTACATCAACATGTGTCCCCTCTTCTACATGTCTCTTCTGCATCAGCATGTGTCCCATCTTCTTCATGTCTCTTCTACATCAACATGTGTCCCCTCTTCTTCATGTCTCTTCTACATCAACATGTGTCCCCTCTTCTTCATGTCTCTTCTACATCAACATGTGTCCCCTCTTCTTCATGTCTCTTCTACATCAACATGTGTCCCCTCTTCTTCATGTCTCTTCTACATCAACATGTGTCCCCTCTTCTTCATGTCTCTTCTACATCAACATGTGTCCCCTCTTCTTCATGTTTCAGGAACAAAGATTCTCTCTCTTTTTGATCCATTTCTATAAAAACCTGTCTGAAAATGAGCTGATCAGATTTTGGCCACTTTATGATGTCATAACGATGTTTTTGTCCATTAGCCAATCAGCAACCAAGGTAACCCCCCCCCCCCCCCCCTTATCACCTGAATCTCCTCCTAGAGCACCATTGAGTTCTTTGCAACCAAATGTCTCTCAGAGGGGCGTGGGGAGGGGCTCCTTATTTTCATCTAAAGTAACAGACAGAGAATCAGCACTTTGGAAACAGGGCTGAAACAGAGGGGATTATGGGTAATGCTGCCATGATCTGTTTGGTGTTTCAGCCAATCAGAGACAGGTTCTGTATATATCTGAGAGCTATAATATATTTATGGAAAACACTATAATAGGGCACCTTTAAGTAATAAATAGTCGTGTTTTATAACAGTACTCATGTTACTTCCTGCAGGGGGCTACCTGGCCCACAGCCTGGCCATCATGACGGACGCGGCCCACCTCCTCACAGACTTTGGCAGCATGATGGTGAGCCTGTTCTCCCTCTGGATCTCCTGCAGACCCCCCACCAAAACCATGAACTATGGCTGGCACAGATCAGGTCAGTGACTAACAGCGTAAAAGGCAATCAGAGGATAAGACTATACGTTTTAATGATAATTTGACACGACAGTCAGGAACCGAGACCAGACCTCAGAGATGTTTGGATGGATGAATGGATGATTTAGGACATTTATTTAACAATATATGAGTTTAAGAGTGACTGAATAACAGTAAAGACAGGCCTTGGTTACAATGTTGAATCTGTTCATGTAGTATTGATGTTTTTCAGCTCGTTCAAACTGCATTACATACTTATTTTTCTTGATTTGAAGGTAGCGTTGATCAACATGTTGACATTTTCAGATATACAGTGATGCAGATGTCACTTTCCTTTCCTTAAAGGGATTGTATGAAGCGGTGTAGTATTAGCTTCTTATACATAGTGAGTGTAATACCTACAGTAGATTGGAAACAGTCAGAGCTCTTAGAGTGGCCTTTCTAGTAATTTAACATTCAAGCATAAAATAGAGCACATTTCTTATTACCCAGCACAAAAGCCCCAATTTACGGCAACGAGACACATAAATATCTCTATATTAACCTAATTTGACCTGGGCACAGACTATATGAAGAGAGATGAGAGATTAAGGAGATTAATTTAATTCATCATCTACAAAGAGAAAGATCCTTAGGACAAAATCTAACTGGAATAATTTAATTAATATCCAGAGTTGTGTATTTAAGAGCCCCCATGTATGAGAATAGGCACTTGTAGCAAGATGTGTGATCTTAACTGCACTTTTAAGTACATTTACACTGATTAGTAACTATACAAATTAAACATCGCACTAAAACTAAGCTGCATTGATAGCTGTCACTGGTTTGAAGTTGAAGCCTTTCCTCTGAGGGATTGTGTCTATTATTTAACTTCATATCCCGCAGCGATGCTCTGATAGAGGTGTGTGTTCAGTCCTGTGATGAAGTGTGTATCTGTACAAAGTGATTAAGATTCCTCTCTCTCCCCCTCAGAGATCCTCGGGGCGTTCATCTCAGTGATTTCCATCTGGATCGTGACGGGGGCTCTGGTGTATTTAGCCATCGAGAGGATCGTCAGAAACGACTATGAGATTGATGGCCACGTAATGTTGGTGACCTCGGGGTGCGCCGTCATCGTCAACATAATGTGAGAGAGGCTCGGTCTAATGGGTGTTAATATCGTGCATTAAAGATCTCCTATTATGCTATTTTTAAGCATATATTATGGGTCTCAGATATATACAAATATATAAAAACATGTCTATGATGCGTTTTGCTCAAAATACCAAACAGATCATGCATTTGAGACATCCCTCATATCCCTCTATTTCAGCCCTGTTAAGCCCCTGTCACACTGTCCCGAAATTGACACCCGATGGACACACGATAAAGGAAATGTTCAAATTCGGCTGTGATCGTAGCAACATCGGGCCATTCGTGAGGGCATCTTAAGCCATCGTATGACCGCCGGTGGAGTTTCTCAGGCTCCGGCAGCAACTTCGTGAGCGGCAACTTCGTAAGGCACTCGTGAGGGCATCTTGTCAAGTCGTGTCATCTTCGTGTTATCATCGGTGCATTCACCCTCACTCTGATCGGGGCGAATGCCCAATGGCACCGATGATAACAAGATGCCCTCACGATGGCCTTACGAAGGGCAAAATGGACACACGAATTCAACACGAAAATGAACCTTCTCAAGGTCCTTCGGCTATTTTTTGGCATGCCAAAGATTTTGCCACCGCTCACGAAGTTGCTGCCGGAGCCTGAGAAACTCCACCGGCGGTCATACAATGGCTTAAGATGCCCTCACGAATGGCCCGATGTTGCTACGATCACAGCCGAATTTGAACATTTCCTTTATCGTGTGTCCATCGGGTTGGTTTATTGCACAACAAAATCATGTAAATATATTATGTAAATAACCCAATTTGTGTTCTGTGAAACTGAAAAGGATATAATATATTATTTTGAAGGAGAGTTGACAGGAAGTTGTTGTTGCTATGGAAACAACAACATGACGGAGAAAACGTAATATCTTCTACATATAAAGACGGAGAAAGTAAAGAACAAAGTCTGAAGATATCAGTACAGTATCATAGTACTTTAACATAATTGTTTGTGTTACTTTCGTTGCAGTTGTATGTCTTAAATGTAATGTAAATGTTGCCTTCGTGTGTGGTTCGGGGCCATCTTCGTGCGAAATTCACAATTCAATATTCGTGTGTCCATCGGGTGTCAACTTCGGGACAGTGTGACAGGGGCTTTAGAGAAACGCTGATTCTGGGTCCTTAGCTTAAAAAAAGAAAGAAGAGGAGGCGGAGCTAATGCCTGATCAGAATTCTACGAGATACTCAGCTAAATGCTGCCGTGATTAAACGCCACTATGTTCCAAACCACATCAAGGATTATTTCTGAAACAGTATGGAGCTCAAATGCCTTTTCTCTCTCAGGTTTACCACAAGGTGAGTTCCTTTTTTTATTTCCTGCTTCTTTACACACATGGGGTGTTTCTCAATGTCGAGTAAAGCTGCTCCAGAGCTACTATTTCAAGCATACTACGTCATCGAGTGTCGCCGAAGGACTGTTCCAATGTCCAGCATACTTGGAAATCTACCGAGCCCGGCGTACTTCGTTTGGAGACATTTCGAGGCTGCACATGTGTAGACTCCGCGGTCTTAAAATCCCCACAATGCTTTGCGCACGGACCAATTTCCCCAAATCTGTGGCGGAAAATGTAAGTTGGGGCCTCTCATATGACGCACACCTGCACACTTGCTAGCCTGTTCCACTCTTTGTTTTCCGAATGCCAGAAAGTATTCTTGCCTCGCTTCAGAAGCAAGACGCTCGGAAGACTTGTACTACCAAGCAAGCGTACTCGACATTGAGAAACACACATGCTCTCCAGTACAGGTTAGCTCTGAGTGTTAGCGATGCTAATGTAAACAAAGACCATATTACGTCCAAAACAGTCGGGCATTGTTTCTGATAGCAACGTTTCTGATTGGGCCGTGGGTCCACATTTCAGATATTACGTCATATCGGACGCAAATCTGGATCAGCTCCGTTGTTCCCCGTTTTTAGAGATTTGGGTACGGAGGAAAAGAGAGAGGGTTTTATTTTCTGACGCTGCGTGAGTTCCCCGACACACCGGGGACACATTTATGTATAAAAGACATGATAAATTTGGTATTTCGAGTCAAACACTTCAGAGACATGTTTTGTATAATCTGAGACCTATAATATATTGATAAAAAACAGTATAATAGGGGACCTTTAAGAATCAAACTAATTCATGTTCCCAATTTTGTTCATTTCCTTTCTTCTCAGGAATAAAGAAATCAATCCAAGTACTTACCTCTCTTTCTCTCTGTCTCCCTGCAGCATGGCCTACATCCTGCACCACTCCACCACCTTCCACTCTCACGGCAGCGGGTACCAGCAGATCGAGGAGGGGGGTCGCAGCCCCGCGGCTCACGGTCACTCCCACGCTCTGCTGGGGGGGGGCCACAGCAACACCAGCGTCCGCGCCGCCTTCATCCACGTGGTGGGAGACCTCCTGCAGAGCGTGGGCGTCATGGTGGCCGCCATCATCATCTACTTTCGGGTCAGATATAGATCATTGCAAATGTTTTCTCTCACTGATTGTGCTGTTATGTTAAATGTTTGTTGTTTGTTTTTCACGTATCGTGTATTGATATTTGTCTGTTGATGTTACACATGGAGCTGCTGTGATGCAAGTCAAATGTCAGGCTTGATCTGACCATTAAAGTGTTATCGTATCGTAGTCAGGTTAGGGTGAGGCCGAGGTGTGAAGATATCTGTGAACGATATCCATCTATATGATACATTGCAATACAATATGTTACAATATGTTATCATACAATATGATACGATCCAATAAGATACGCTACGATCCAATAAGATACGCTACAATCCAATAAGATACGCTACGATACAATAAGATACGCTACGATACAATAAGATACGCTACGATCCAATAAGATACGCTACGATACAATAAGATACGCTACGATACAATAAGATACGCTACGATACAATAAGATACGCTACGATCCAATAAGATACGCTACGATACAATAAGATACGCTACGATCCAATAAGATACGCTACGATCCAATAAGATACGCTACGATCCAATAAGATACGCTACGATCCAATAAGATACGCTACGATACAATAAGATACGCTACGATACAATACGGTACGATTCGATACAATACGGTACAAAATGATACGGTACGATGCTATAAGACATGATTTGTTTAGATACGATACAATATATGATACAGTATGATAAGATATAATACCATATGTTTGGATATGATACGATACAATATATGAAACAATAGATAAAATAAGATACGATATAACATAATAGAATAGGAGACGATATGATACAATACAATCTTATACACAGTATCATTTGAGACGATACAATCCAATATGAAACAATTCGATACAACACAATACGATACTGACTTGTCTAAACAAACTGACACTGTAGCAGGGGGCTTTATATCAAATTCATGGAAGAAATTGAATTCCCTTTTAAAGCAGTTTTTTTTCAGAACATGTTCTGGATAAAATCTGTACATATGCATATACATATATACATATACAGTTTGATGTTATTGCTCTTTTAATATGACACGATATTAAACATTATTTTCAGATTAGCAGCTCCATTGGCAACATCAACAAGGACACATATTTAAAACATGAAACAAGAGAACAGACAATATTTTCAAGACCCTTAAATGTACATTTAATAAAAATCTAAACATGATACAGACTTATATTATGAAGCAGTTTGACTTAAATAATCCTGGTGTTCGACAGCATTTGGACTAGTTTATTGTATTAACACTGTCTTGCTAAAATTACATTCCAAAAACTTCACTTCACTTAAATCAGTTTTTGAAAGAGCATCAATCCCAAGTGTTGAATTGTTTATTTTAAAGGGGTACAATCTTCCATCATCATGCAAGAGGTTCCCTTTTCTTTCTGTCCCGGAGTTCTTTAATGGCCGCTGAGTGAGGAAAACACCATCTGACGCCCCTCTCCTCTCAGATCTTTAAAGTCTCCTCTCAGATCTTCAAAGTCTCCTCTCAGATCTTTAAAGTCTCCTCTCAGATCTTTAAAGTCTCCTCTCAGATCTTTAAAGTCTCCTCTCAGATCTTTAAAGTCTCCTCTCAGATCTTTAAAGTCTCCTCTCAGATCTTCAGTCTCCTCTCAGATCTTTAAAGTCTCCTCTCAGATCTTTAAAGTCTCCTCTCAGATCTTTAAAGTCTTCTCTCAGATCTTCAAAGCCTCCTCTCAGATCTTTAAAGTCTCCTCTCAGATCTTCAAAGTCTCCTCTCAGATCTTTAAAGTCTCCTCTCAGATCTTTAAAGTCTTCTCTCAGATCTTCAAAGCCTCCTCTCAGATCTTTAAAGTCTCCTCTCAGATCTTTAAAGTCTCCTCTCAGATCTTTAAAGTCTCCTCTCAGATCTTTAAAGTCTCCTCTCAGATCTTTAAAGTCTCCTCTCAGATCTTTAAAGTCTCCTCTCATATCTTTAAAGTCTCCTCTCAGATCTTTAAAGTCTCCTCTCAGATCTTTAAAGTCTTCATCACCTCGTCTGGTTTCTCTTTCAGCCCGAGTATAAAGTGGCAGATCCCATCTGTACGTTCCTGTTCTCCATCTTCGTCCTCTTCACCACCATCACCATCCTCAGAGACGTCTTCAGGATACTCTTGGAAGGTACCTCACCTGGAGATCAATATTATCTGTGGGAAACGTTCCTTTGTTTTCTAATCTTTTTTAAATGTTTAGAGGAACATCGAGAACATTTGATCTTCTACTGAAGTCTATGTAAAGTACCTCGATAAACATTAATTGGTTTGTCATCTTGGAATTTACTTATTTGTCTAAATAGTTATCAGCGTAATAAACCGTATTGAATTTCATCTTACTGTACAATATTTAATTTCACATTCTGTTCTTGTATATCATATTCTATTTACGTGTATATAGACGTCTTTCACTATTTTTTATTTATATCTTTGTATTTTAGTATATGTTGCATCGTTGGAGGAGCTCGGGTCATAAGATGTTCATTGCCATTTCTACACTGTAGCTTTGTGCTCATGACATTAAAACCTTTGACTTGAACTGAATGTGGATAAAGCTTTTAACACAATAGCCAACAAGTCAAGTGGTAGTTTACCGTCTGGTAGTTAAACAAATCCACCTACTACCAGTCTCCTTCAGCTTAATAATTAACTCAATATGTATTTTTTTAATCTCCACAAAAACTGTGTCACTACACCCCAACCAGGAAATGGTCCAGAGTATTCACACCTTGAAAAAGACAAATATCAATAAGGTTTGATGAAGATATAAGACGTGAGGTTTACAGATGCTGATAGGTGACTTTTGAAAAACTCGTAACAGAGCAAGTCTTTATGCTAAGCTAGGCTAGCCAGCACATGGATCAAAATGTGGAATTAAGCCTTTACGATGTCTCATAATCTGAAGGGTTATATATGACCTGAACACATTAATGTTTTCTCGCCTGCAGACAAGATCAAGCTGTCCACTTTCAACCTAGTCCCACAAGCTCAACATCATGTTTCTGTGCATTCATGACTATATTTGGCCAGCTTTTTTTAATAAAATGTAGGCAAGCAGGGCTCACCTAAACTAACACACACATGCCACCAAGATTAAACTAAGTGCGGAGAATGTATGTGACACTTTCAGGTTTCTGCTTAACAAATAACAGACACAGATGTTCATAACCCGGGGACGTCTAAAAGCTTTTGGGACGTTTTTAAATCTCTTTTATTTGTATTTTGTATTTAACCAGATACAAAGCATTGAGATAGAATCTCATTTTCAATGCTGACCTGGCCAAGAAGGCAGCAACGTTACACATAACACAGACATATAAAATACAGAGAACACAACTAAGTAAACAAAAGACGAAAAAGCAGTCACTACATTTTGCACATTAGGACAGTGAGAAAGGTGCACTACTTATTACTGCAAGAGCAGCTGGTGGTAAGGTCTCAGACAACTTCAATTTAAAACATGCTATAGGGACAATAGCCATCAGTTTGAGGCGTGATTGAAGGTCATTCCAAGACCAAGGACCATCATGAAAAATACTCCTTTTTCCAGCCTCAGTCCGCACGGCAGGAACCTGGACCCGTATCCAGGCACTGGGTCTGAGGTTGTGCGAGTCACAAACTGGGGCAAATCTGGCACATATGTGCAGTAGAAGCTTACCTAAAATGGCTTTACATTAATAAAAACCAATGCTACATCCTACGCATAGTGAGTGAGGACCATCCAGTTAGGCTGTACAGTTTGCAATGATGAGTCCTATAGGGTGCATTTGATATATTACATTACATGTTATTTGTTAGACGCTTTTATCCAAAGCGACTTACATACATTCAGTACTGTGGACAATCCCCACAGGAGCAATTTGGGGTGAAGTGTCTTGCCCAGGGACACAACGACATGCTGACTGCAGTGGGACTCGAATTTGCTACCCCCTGATTCGAAGTCCATCATACTAACCACTGAGCCACAGCCTCCTATATATCAGTGTTTCTCAAACTTTTTCATACCAAGGACCACTTAACCAATAAAAAAACACTCGCGGACTACCTAATTCCACAAATATCAAAAAACACATCATTATTCTAGAACAGATTACAAATCGCCTGAAAATGGTACAAACAAGTGGCAACATGTGTGATAAAGGTGTTGCGCTGGGCTATATCATGCAATCGAAAGTGAAACGTAACCTCACTCCATTGCGGAGATATTTCCGCGAGAGTGCGGAAAACTGAAATTAATCAATTTATTTCAAATGTTACCAATATGCTCACGGACCACTAGGGGGCGCTCACGGACCACCAGTGGTCCGCGGACCACACTTTGAGAAGCACTGCTATATATAACGCAGTGCAGCATGGTAGAGTGGGTCAAGTTTGGCCAAAACAGAGGGACAGGCAAATCTATAAACGGTATCACCGTAGTCCAGCTGGGACAGGAATAAACCAGAGACCAACCTTTTACGGGATGAAGTTGAAAAACAACATTTAAGTCTGAAAAGGAAGCCAAGAGTGAATTTCAATTTTTTTTAGTTCACTGAACTTCCTCAAGAGGACCCCCTCTTAACAACATTTAGTAACGACAGAAATGGCCTCTGGTGTTAATGAGCAACATTATGGGATAGACAACAATCATTAATCTTAATCTGAAATAATGTACTTCAGCCATAGCTGTTTAGCCACATTTAAGTCCCATATCTATACAATAAAATGTATTTCAGGTCTTTATGGGAAAGTAGATATATTTTTCCAATTGTTTTATAGTTTTTCCACCACTTCGTGAAGGTTTAGTTACGCTCCCCTTCCTTTTATTATGATAATCCAGAAATGTATCAAACAGTGACGTCCATATGTCTGATGTTCATACTTTAGCAGTTTTGTATGCGTGAGTGAGCTATATTTTTACTCGTGGGTATTCAACACCATATTATGGGATGTATTGTGTATTAATGTGTGTCCTGCTTTTTCCCAGGCGCTCCTAAAGGCATCGAGTTTAACTCCGTGAAGGAGGTGCTGCTGTCGGTGAACAAGGTGAAGTCGATGCACTCTCTGCATCTCTGGGCTCTGACTCTGGGTCAGGCTCTGGTCTCTGTTCACCTGGCCATAGGTAACACCTCACTGATATACCTTTACATATTAGAGAGCACTGAGAAACTAGAATTCAGAATAATATAATAACAGTTGAAGCCATATTAGGAGATGACGGTCTCGACATAGGGGGCTGTAAGGGACTTTGGAGTAAAAGGTAGATGCAAACATGTCATTTACCAAAGCACTTAAAACCTGACGATATTCAGTATAATTAAGATTTATTAACGGGAGAGGCCGATAAAGTATGACATTTGGTCTCAATAAAACAAAAACAATTAGTCGATTACTATTTTCTGAGTTTCATTTTATTCATTAATAGACATTTAAAAATGTTGTTTTAATATTTCAAATTTCTCTCATTGTTTTTTGAACTTTTACAAAACAAACAATGATGAAGAAAATAATTAATAAATCCATTATGAAAACAATCTATTGGTAACCACCTTAACCAACTACTAACAGTAACATATTACTTTTATATTAATGCAAGAGTAATACTAATCTAATCATAATAATACATCATTGTATAATAGTCACAGTGGACTTTTAACTTGAACTTTCAATACTTTACCTACACTTTCCTGATGATACTTGCCTTCTTTAAAGTGACATTTCATTGAAGGGGTTTTACTTACGACGTTTGGTATGACTACGTGTTCTCTAAAAGGCAAAGACAAAAGTCAAAATGTGATAACCATAGTAAATCAGACTCACAGTTGTTGTTTTCCTCTCCTTCCCCCCCTCAGAGGAGGGTGCTGACGCCCAGTCGGTGCTGCAGGAAGCCACTGAGCTGCTGAACACTAAATTTGGTTTCCACAGCATCACAATCCAGGTGGAGCTCCACTCTGAGGAGATGAACCACTGCTGCCACTGCCAGGACCCCCAAGACTGACCCCCCCCCCCAACCAGTACCCACTTCCTTTACTCAAGTAGAAGTACAGATACTCGTGTTTAAAAAATACTCTGGTAAAAGTAGAAGTACTGACTAAACTTCTTTACTCAAGTAAAAGTAAAGAACTTTGAAATGTACTTCAGTAAAAAGTACCCATAACTAGCAGCTGCTTTAAAGAGTACCTGTCCTCCCTTTATATTAATAGAACAATAATGTCATTGTTAGCTAATGAATGTTTCCATGCTGAACAACGGCAACATGACAACGTTTCCATTGGTCCCTCTTCTTTAGAGAAGACCAGGAAATGATGGATACACGGATCGTGTTCAAATCAATAGGCACGCAATGACTCTAAAGAATAATGATCACGCACCAAACACACATTCAGACTAAAGGAACCAGCTGTTTGGGAAATGAGAGAAGTAGAAAGTACAGGTATTTGTGTTCAACATGTAAGAAGTAGAAAGTACAGGTATTTGAGTTCAACATGTAAGAAGTAGAAAGTACAGGTATTTGAGTTCAACATGTAAGAAGTAGAAAGTACAGGTATTTGTGTTCAACATGTAAGAAGTAGAAAGTACAGGTATTTGAGTTCAACATGTAAGAAGTAGAAAGTACAGGTATTTGTGTTCAACATGTGAGAAGTAGAAAGTACAGGTATTTGAGTTCAACATGTAAGAAGTAGAAAGTACAGGTATTTGAGTTCAACATGTAAGAAGTAGAAAGTACAGGTATTTGAGTTCAACATGTGAGAAGTAGAAAGTACAGGTATTTGTGTTCAACATGTAAGAAGTAGAAAGTACAGGTATTTGTGTTCAACATGTAAGAAGTAGAAAGTACAGGTATTTCAGTTCAACATGTAAGAAGTAGAAAGTACAGGTATTTGTGTTCAACATGTAAGAAGTAAAAGTAAAAAGTTGTCAGAAAAATAAGTAGTGGAGTAAAGTACTGATACCAGAAACATGTACTTAAGTTCAGTAACGAAGTATTTGTACTCCACTACTTCCCACCTCTGCTAATTACAGCCACACATTAGTCCATTAAGGCGAGACACTACAGGATGTTTTTTTATCATGCCCATTTGAAGAGTTTAGGTAACTTTGCTTCCATGATGGCGTCATTTGCATTATTTACACATGCAATGTCACAAAAACCGAACTCCCTTTATAACACATCTCCCTGTAGTGTCTTACAAATGAATGGAATTACAAAATGCATATCCTTTTAGGGCTGTTTTGTCATACTCCTTACTTCAGTAGCACTGAATCGACCACAATTACATTCCTAACGATATTCTGAAATATTTCACAAAAGAGTTTTATACAAAACATGGTTGAAATAGATTTATTTATGGCAAACAAGTGTATAGAACTTTGCTTTATCGAATTAGAAGTCTGTTCTGAAACCGTATGAAAATGATCACATCATTAATAACAGCTTTATTTATCATTTCACCTCCAGCTCTAACCTCACTCTGGTCTTAATACCAACAGTAAACTGACTTCACTGTCCCTTTAAACATCACACTGCTGACTACACGTGTCTGTATTATATCTAATAATCAGCTAAATGTTGACTTGACCAATATCTATACAGTATTGTACTTTGTTTAGTTATATCACATCAAGCCAAAGAAGAGTAGCGTCCATTTCAGCAAAATTGAGGAAAAGAGTATTGATTGTTTCTAAAAACACCAATAGCCTTCACAATTAACTCATTAAGGGCTTTGTTGGTGCTTGTTTCTTGTCAATTTGTTTGTGTTACATCATTTTTGGATCAATTTATAGAGGGGACTGTTGGGTAAGTGTCTGGATTTTCAAAATAAAAGCCCTGAAAGGCAAGGGGAGCTTCAATTCAAAACCTTTATTTATCCAGGTAAAATCCCATTGAGATCAATGATCTCTTTTTCAAGGGAGACCTGCAGAGCTTAATTCAGCCTTCATGAGTGCTCAAGATTTTCCAAAATAAAAGACCCAATAGCTACAGGTGCTTAAATAAGCTTTAATGAGCGGTCAAGATTTTCAAAATAAAAACCCCCAAAGGCAACTGGGGCGTTAACAAGCCATTATGAGCGCTCTACATTTTCAACATACTGTAAAGGTCTCTTAAAGGCAACAGGAGTTTAAATAAGTCTTAAATATGCCTTTTAAAGCGCTGAGGATTTTCAAAATAAAAGCCCCTAAGGCAACAAGAGCTTAATAACCTATAATGAGCAGCCAATATTTTCAAAATAAAAGCCCCGAAAGGCAAGGGGAGCTTAATTCTGCTTTCATGAGTGCTCAAGATTTTCAAAATGAAAGCTCAAAAAGGCAACAGGAGTAAAATGAGCCTTAAATATGGCTTTATAAGCGCTCAAGATTTTTAAATACAAAGGTCCAATGGTAACAGATGGAGGGGGGGGGTCTATTGTTGTAGATCTACACTCTACTTAGTGCACTTTTCTTGCTTAAACGAAGACATCCGAAATATACCTCGAATTATCCTTTCTCATATAACTCCTTACCCTAAATCTCTCATTGAAACCCTCTGTCAAGCTTTCCGATTATTCCAATTACTCAATGACCGGAGGGAGGAGATGTTATATAATAAACATAAATGGTTCATCCTCTGGGGAGCACGATGAGGCTGAGTCAATAGCGTACTGCCCTTTAGATTTAAAGACATCGACATTAAGCTGATGGTGGAGTCAGGCGTCACTTTAATGGTGTCGTTAACATCATCAGAGTTTCTGGGGACCATGAAAAAAACAGCCAGTTTCAGTCGGTATGAATTCATACTTTAGACGTAGAATAATTTAGATGATTGCAGCCATAAGAACGGCCAACAAGCCAGTTATGTTTCGCAGCTACTTTAAAAGTGTTGATGTTCTTCGTTGCTCTCAAAGAAAGGACACTTGTACATTTGAAACGCACATTCAGACCCAAAAACTTGCATGGTTGTTAACTGTTATTCAATATCCTGTACAGTAAAACGTTTCTCGTCCAACTGCCAATCAGAATATGTTGATGTACCATGCGGAGGATTAATCAAAGTCTTCTTTAAAAAATGATATTTTTTCACCACTTTTTAAGGAGATCTTGTATATTTAAATACATTTTCCTTTTGAAATAATGCAACATGAGAATATATATGGACCCAACAGCTGAGTTAAAACAAAATGAAAGAAATAAAGACCAATGCATTTTAACTGTAGTGATTTTGATAAACATGCACATTGAATTTCTCCACTAAAATATTTCTTTAAAGTTCATTTCAGAAAACCAGTTTGTTCACTATGGAAGTCTACTGTTTGAGAATGCTTTGTATTGTGCCGTTGCTGTCCGTGACAATTATGAATGTTGTAAATATGTCAAATATTGTGTATTTTCTGTGTATGATTTTGTGTATACAAGTGTAAATACATCTATCTCTCTTGTACAATCGGTCCTATTTGTCTTTGTGTAATGGTGATATTGCATAAATCCACATGTCACATCTGTGATGTTTGATATTTCATTTGTATGTGTGGCAAGAGTTTTTTTGTAAAGTGAAATAAAAGATTGCAGATGATGCAAAGAGGCTGGATTATTTTTGGAAAGGTCCATTGACTTAAATGTATCTTATAAGGGGAAATCATATCAAACAAACGATCATTTGGAGGGCCTACCCCCAAAAAGTGTGTTGGGCATTATATTAAATGTTCTTAGTCGCCAAACAGTGGAACTTGGAACCTTTTCCTCCCAGGAAAGTACCTGTTCTCTAGCAGGGACTGAAAAAGGGGGGAAAAGGTTCCCGAAAAAAAGTTCTAGTTCCAGATCTTTTTGGTGTAAACGCAAAATCCCAGGAACTATCGGAACTATTCCTGGGAAAAGTACTCCGGTGTGAAAGCGCCTATTGACTTAAATGTATCTTATAAGGAGAAATAATATAAAACAAACGATCATTTGGAAGGCCAACCAAGCATCATATTTGGAGGTCTGCCTGTAGGTCAGAAAACAACAGAGTATCCCGGACGAGCCCCCAAAAAGTGTGCCGGGCATTAAATCAAATGTTCTTAGTGGCCAAACGTTGATACTACAACTTCCATGTCAGTCACATTATACCATTGGGCCCATAACAACGTTTTCCCATTGACTAACATTAGGAAATAAGCATCTGTTAAACAGCATATAATTTTTTGGAGATAAATCTACTTCACAGTACAGTTGAAAAGCCCTCATCTAAAATCATCAGGTTCTTAAAGTTGTATAATGCACATTATTTTATATCTTGCAAATCCATCAGTGTAGAATGTGCTTTTTTGGGGAGGGGGTCTTAAAGAGACAGGCTTTAAAGTGAAGCATTTCAGAAAAAGGGTGAATCGGGTAAATGCAGACGGACAGCATGAGATAAATAAAGAGCTTTTGGAACGTTAACATGTTCTGGTAGAAATCCTTAATACATGCTTGAACCTAAAAAGGAGCATTGTATGTGACCTTTTTATACGCAAACTTTTATATTACTATATAGTTTTTTATTCCATCGATCCATCTTCTCCCGCTTATCCGTGGTCGGGTCTCGGGGGTAGCAGAGAGCCCCAAACTTTCTTTTCCCTGGCCACATCAACCAGCTCTGACTGGGGGATCCCAAGACGCTCCCAGGCCAGAGAAGAGATATAATCCCTCCACCTGGTCCTAGGTCTACCCCTTGGTCTCTTCCCAGCTGAACGTGCCTGGAACACCTCCCTAGGGAGGCGCCCAGGTGGCATCCTAACTAGGTTCCCGAACCACCTCAACTGGCTCCTTTCGACGCGAAGGAGGAGCGGTTCAACTCCGAGTCCCTCCCTGATGACTGAACTTCTCACCTTATCCCTAAGGGAGACACCAGCCACCCTGCGGAGAAAACCCATCTCGGCCGCTTGTATCCGCAATCTCGTTCTTTCGGTCATGACCCATCCTTCATGACCATAGGTGAGGGTAGGAACGAAAATGGCCCAGTAGACAGAGAGCTTTGCCTTCTGGCTCAGCTCCCTTTTCGTCACAACGGTGCGGTAAAGCGACTGCAGTACCGCTCCCGCTGCTCCGATTCTCCGGCCCATCTCACGCT